ATTCTCTGAGTCTTCTGAGGCAACCAACCCTGGGACACCTTGATTTTAGACTTCTGGCCTCCAGAACTCTGATAGAATAAACTTCTGTTGTTTTAATGGACCACATTTGTGGTAATTTCTTGCAGTAGCCCTAGGAAACTAACATACCAATCAAAAAGGGAAAAGACCCTAAACATGTTTATGTTAGAAATTTGGTAAAATAGTTCAGCCAGAGAATTCTACAGTGACCCCCTCCAGTAAATAACCCGTGTTTATGAATACTACACTTTCAACCAATTTATTATTGACTTGGCTTTAAATATGTCCTAAATATTTAAAGAATTTAAAGAATGAGTTTTATAAAATTTTTTAAGTGATTTGTTTTACTGAGGTCACATTGTTTTACAGCACTGTGTGTGATTCACTGTGTATGATTCAGAGGAACACACTCCTTAAGTGTATGTCACCACCCACTCCCACCACTGAGGCGCCCATTGTCCTCCGCCTTAGACCAGGCTTCCCACATATTTGAGAAAATTCTGTATTATAAAAAGCAGAAACCTAGACCAACCAGTAGAATGAAAAACCTTTAGGAAATTGAGGTAATGCAGAGAGAAGGAAAATTAAAAACCTGGGGCCTCCCCTGGTGGTGCAGGTGGTTGAGCGCTGCTCTGTGATGCTGTCAGCAGCCTGCAGCGATGGTTCAATCCTGGCCAGCTGGTGAGGGTCCCACATGGCGGTCGCGCCTGCTGCTCCCCTCAGCAGTGTATTTCGTCGGTCTGCCTGTTCTGTTCCCTGCTCTGTCTCTGGTGAATCCTCTCACCCTCCCGCGCCTCTGGCCTGTACCCTGGTTCTTGTATAAAATAAATAAATAAATCTTTAAAAAATTAAAAACCTGCCTTTTATATTAGGGTGATTAAATAATGCAGCCATGTAGCAAGAGAAAAGAGAGTTCAGAGGAAAACAAGAGGCGAGAACTAAACTCAGTAGATGGCAAAGAAAATAAAGTGGAGAAAAGTAGATTGATCCAGAAGGTCCACTGTCTGAAAAATAGGAGTTATAGGAAAAGCTAAGGAGACATGAAGGGAGGAAATAATTACTATAACACAACTAGCACCAAAGATAGGAATGTCTGGATTGGCAGGGCCTGCTTTGTGCCAAGGACAGTGAATGTAAAAAGATCCAGCAGAGACAAGTCACAGTAGGATGTTGCAATGCCAAGAAGAAAGTGAAACTGTAAAAACTTGCAGAAAGAAAAAAATCCAGTCAAAGTAATGAATAATAAGTCCCATGAATAGAATTGGAATCAAAATAGTATCAAACATGTCATCAGCAATGCTGGAAGCCAGAAATCACAGGAACAATTTCTGACCTAAAATCTCCTGCCTAACCAAATATGTGTGGAATGGAAAAAAAAAAAAAATCAAACCACAAGAATATGTACAAAAACTCATGCAAGAAACAATTTACTTCTCAAGTGCTCTGACAAGAGACAAATAGGGTCAGGAAAAGTTGAATGAAGTTCTGTAACTCAACCAGTCTGGAAGGAGAATGACCTTTTTTGGGAAAATAGAATTCATGGATTATCTCTTCTCTTTGATTTTTGTGGAAGATGAAACTGAGAGACCATCAAAGTGATAGGGAAGAGTTTGTGATGGAAACATTTGAAATTAAACAGATAAATGGGAATTGCAACAATTAACAAATCAGGAAAATGCTCCAAGAAAAAATTGCAATTATTTATGCAAAAACTCATTGTTCAATATTTGCAGTCAGGATAATTTATTTATTTTAAGATTTATTTATTTATATAAGCACTGGGTACAGTCAGAAGTGCGGGAGAGTGAGAGACTCCACCAGAGCCAGAGTGGGGAACAGAACAGGCAGACTGATGAAGTACACTGCTGAGGGGAGCAGTGGGCACTACAGGAGAGGTCTACGCGCCATGTGGGACCCTCGCCAGTGGCCAGGGATCAAACCGGCGCTGCAGAGGCTGCGGGCAGCTTTGCAGCCCAGCGCTCAACCGCTGTGCCACTAGGGAGGCCCATCAGAATAATTTAAACACTGAATAGTAATTTAATAAAAACAGCCATAACTAAACTGAGAGGATGGATGGGGGGGGAAGTTAGTTTTGTAGGCCGAAATGAGCTAAATCTTTAATTCAATAAAAATTAATGTTTAAAGTATATAAAAAGAAGTAATATTAACATAAGTAGGAATATTGAGTCATTAAAAAAATCCAGAAGTGTTGTTATTTCCTTTGAAAAGTGGTTCTGGGTAGAGAAAGGGGGAATTCTGCTTTAGTCATCAGCATTATAGTATTGACTTAATTATGGGTACATTACATTCATAAAAATAAATTGAAAGCAATGGTAATATTAAAATTTTCTGAAAATTACATTGTTTTGTGTGCTTTGGGAATCCTAGCTATAAGAAATAATATTTGTTTCCTGCCTTTTTTCCAAATTTACACTCTTTAAGTTTTGCTGGAAAAGTAAAAAGTCTGGGAATAAAACTTAGTGTCACCATCTGAGTATTTTACAGATCCATGTCTAATTACAGATACATGATTTCATCCATCTGAAGTAGATTGTCCTTGACAATGAGGACCTGTTGGTCTTTTCTCTTTGGGATGAGGTTACAGCACTCTAGCAAACAATAGCCCAATATGGAATTATTGAAGATGTCAAATTATATTAATTGATTTGAAAGTTGCAAAAATCTCAAAAAATAAGCACTGATGATTAAGAGGTTTTAACTATATTGAGGAAGCATTTCATTTAGAAGGTAAACATTTCAGTTTTTCAGCAGACTTAAAGAAAAACAACCAAACAAGAGATATAACGTAGAAGAAAAAGCTTTGAACTTGAAGTCGGAAGGAAGAAATTTGAATCTTGGATTTGGGACTCTGGTTGAAATAGTCTTTAACCTTTCTTAGTATTAGTTTTGGTATTTTTAAAACAGACAGAAAACACTAAATTAGCAAGAGTGTCATGAGGACTATTGAAAATTACATGTGCAAAAGCTCATTATAATTGCAGTGGTGACCATTATATATATGTTAAGAATCATTAAAATAGAGTGTTCCGAAGCTCTTTTAGTACTAGTTTCCTGATGTGGAAAGAACAATCGTCAGCATGGGAGATAGCAGGTGGCTCAGATAATGATAGTAAATAACTTTCAAGTGAGGTCCGAAAGAATGAGGGGTAGAGTAGGGGAATATGTTTTTTTATTTTACTTAGCAGTGTCAAACAGGAAGCACAATGGGAGAAAAAGGACAATAAATAGTACTAACCTATAGTTAACCTTCATTCTTACAATAAAACCTCTAATACATATGGTAAAACACTGTCATTTTTAAGTGAAGACTAGAAAATTTGTGTTAAATGTAGAATTTGCTGTGGGGAGGTTAATTACATGAAACAAGGGCGTGAAGAAGGATGAATGACTGACTCTTTACATTTCAATTCTCCTTATTATGAGGTTTCACTGCATTACCCTGAGTCAATCCTTAGCACTTGAATTTTCACAGAAAGTGGATTACTTTTTTTTTTCTTTTTTTTTTTTTTTTAATAGAGGCATGCTTTATTTATTTATTTATTTGTTTGTTTGTTTTGTTTATACATGCACTGGGTACAGTCAGAAGCGCGGGAGGGTGAGAGAATTCACCAGAACCAGAGCGGGGAGCAGAGCAGGCAGAAGGACCGAAGTACACTGCTGAGGGGAGCAGCGGGCGGCAGGAGAGGTCTGCGCGCCATGTGGGACCCTCCTCCAGTGGCCGGGGAGCAGCCTGGGATCGAACCGGCGCCACAGAGGCTGCGGGCAGCTTCGCAACCCAGTGCTCAACCGCTGCGCCACCGGGGAGGCCCGAAAGTGGATTACTTTTCATTAATTCTTAATGCTTCCAGTTTTTGTGGTTAGAGCTTTTTAAAACAATCCCATTCTTGCCTCCCCGGTGGCGCAGCGGTTGAGCGCTGGGTTGCGAAGCTGACCGCAGTCTCTGCAGCGCCGGTTCGATCCCCGGCTGCTCCCCGGCCACCGGAGGAGGGTCCCACATGGCGCGCAGACCTCTCCTGCCGCCCGCTGCTCCCTTCAGCAGTGTACTTCGGTCCTTCTGCCTGCTCTGCTCCCCGCTCTGGCTCTGGTGAATTCTCTCACCCTCCGGTGCTTCTGACTGTACCCAGTGCTTGTACAAATAAAAATAAAATAAATAAATAAATAATAAATCTTTAAAAAAAAAATAGGCTTTAAAATAATCCCATTCTCGTGGATTTGAGATGATAACTGCTTGTGGTTTTGACTTGCATATCCCACATTAAAAGTGATAAAGAACAGTTTTTCATCTATTAGCATTTTGGTTATCAGATTTGGAGAATAGTTATTCAGGTCTGTTGCCATTTAGTAATTGGGTTTTTCTATTATTGTTAAATTAAGTTTTTTTTTACATATCTTGACTATTCTCCTTTGTGAGTGTGTAACGTATGAATATTTTCTCTCAGTGGGATGTCTTTTTAATCTATTTACATTTTGCTGTGGTAAAAGCACTTTAAATTGAGGTAATTCCAATTGTTTATTTTATATCGCTTACAGGGGTTATGTCTCTAAAACACTCTTTATTACTACTGATATTATGAAATGTATTACCAATGTGTTCTTCTATGTATTTTATTGTTGTGAGTCTTTTATATAAGTCTTCAATCTATTTTGATTTTATCTTTGTGTATGAAGTTGGTGTTCCAATTTCGTTCTTTTACATGTATCTGCCCAGTTTACCCAGCACCATTTGCTAAAGAGAATCTCTTTTCTCGATGTATGGTCCAGGCTTCTTTGTCAAAAATTAGGTATTGGTACATGCATGAATTCATTCCTGGGCTTTTAATTCTCTTCATTGATACATATGAGTATTTTTCTTCCAATGCCATATTTTAATTACTCCCATTTATAGTAAGCATGCCTTTTTGGTGTAAAGGAACACAACTCATGAAATTACAGATGTTCTCTTCATGTTATGTTTTGTTTAGATGAATAACGTGACCACAGACTATTGTCTTGACATTATAAGGAAATTTGAAGTTTCAGAAGAAAATAAGGCGAAAAATGTTCTTGGCATAGAAGGTAAAATAAAGAATATTCTTAGTTATCACTTCCTGATTCAGTCCACTGAGTTAAAGTCTAGCAAAATTTTTAGGAAAACAAATCAGGAGATAACTAATTATTGATGATTCAATTAAAATCCAAAGACAGGCAAACATATTTTCCTACAAAGAAGATGTCATGACATTGCTATTTCTCTTGTTTTTGCAATGATATTAAATGTTTTCTTTTAGCAAGTTAATTTGATGCCACTAGTTGTGATACATGGCAAGAAATATTTAGCCTTTTTTCAAATGGCTATGTTTTGGAAATATGTTAAACTGTTAATTTTATATAAGAGAATTTGGTGGTAACATTAATAACTCATAAAATTAGTAATGTATGAAACTAGCAAGCATATATGTTTCTTAAAAAAGTTGGCAATGAACTTATTTTACCTCCGAGGCAGTATTAGAGAGCTTTGTTGGAAGCACAAATTTTGCTAATGTAACTATCTCATCTTAGAGTTGCCCACAATTATATACTTAGAATCTAACTTCTAGGATGTTATACATAAATAATATAAACATAGCTGCATGTAAGTATAAGTATTTAAATATGTGGGGAAATAAACTGTAGGTTCCTACCCAAGAGGAGGATCTCCCAGGCAGAACAGATTATCTTTAGGAAAGACCGCCAGGGTAACTTCTGGCTGTCCTTAGGACCATCCAAAGACATAGCTCGTCTTTCACTTTTCATTTCAGATGGTTGGCCCTTTATTTCCTCTACTTCCAGACCAAGTGTAGACAAGGGGGCTTTGATAACATGGGTTTGCTTCCTGGGATGGAAGGTATTTAAATAAAGAGGAATAATTTAACAGTTATATCATTAAAAAATCATGTTAAAACAACTTGAGGAGATAAACTCATTTGAACCTTTACTAAGAAATGAATCTTTTTTTATTAGGATCCTAAAGATGAAATTAAACATGAAATGTAAATTTTTACCATAAACAATTGAAAAACTGTAGAACTAGCAGAGTGTTCAACATTAATCTTCAAGCATAATTTCACATGTGTGAAATGTACCAGTCATAGTACCTCCCAAACCAATAGTCACTTTTCAAAATTAGGCCAGGTCTAACTTTTGACCTGATGTCCCAACTATGGCACTGACAATACTACATTTCAAACTGCCCGAATAACCTATGAAATTGCTAATTGATCATTGTACCACGTAGTAGAAATATGTCTGTAGCCCTGAATCAGACACCTAGTGGGTCACATTGCATGATCAGTTTGAGTAATGTAGTTACTGACCTGCTTTGTAGTAAGCCCCTTCCACTCAGAGAAAATTCTTCAGCCTTATTTCTGCAGGTTGTGTTTAAGCTGTTACTCCCCCAAAGTCATACTTCAGTTTTTGACATCATTTGATCTGAAGCAAATCTCTCATTGCCCCAGTTTTTCCTAGGAAAGCTGTCCTGAGGGTAAATAAGATAATCACTAAGAACACACTCCAATTTTTTTGTCCCTGGAATAGTCACTTGAGTACATACACTTTCAAGGCTCAGGTATTTCACTCTTTCTTCCAAAGGCTTCACGAACTTCATGCGCAGTCCAGCATGTGACATATTTAACCCACTGCACCATGAAGTGTACCAGGACATGGACCAGCCCCTGTGCAACTACTACATTGCGTCCTCCCACAACACGTACCTGACTGGGGACCAGCTCCTTTCTCAGTCCAAAGTGGACATGTATGCACGGGTGCTGCAAGAGGGCTGTCGCTGTGTGGAAGGTATGTGCTGGAGCTCCCAGGTGTGCTGTGAACATGTCTTCAGCCAGTCACTCAGTCAGGTCTACTCAGTCCGTCTCCTCACTCCTCAGTCAAGATGGAAACACACCTTCAGTTGCTAAAAACTGGGATGATAAAGATATTTTTGATTAAATTAAAAAATAGTTCAGGATAACTTTTGTTTTTAAGAAACTTCATGTTCCATCCACTAGTCAACATTTATTAAATTTCTAGTGAGTTCCTGGGGGTAAGGATGGAGATGTAAGACTTGGCTTTTATCTTAAGGAACTTATAGTCTAGTAGGAGGGGTGGACATTAAAAGTAATAGTATGGTGTAAGAATTTCACAGCTGAATCTTATATATGGTAGAGAAGTGGTGGTATGGAGTGAGGTGTGAGGTCAAATGTGATGAGAAATCGGTACACAGGGAAAACAGACTTGTGTCAGTCACAAAGGGTTTTGAGTGCTGTGGGGATGAATTTCAGTTTTAGTGTTTGGTGATGAGGGTCCACTGAAGTATTTTAAAACATGTAACGACAGGATCTGATTTGCAATTTAGAAAGATTGCTTAAACAGCAGTGTAGGAAGATAATTTTTTTTTTTTAGAATATGTGTTTGTAGAGGGAGTGGAGGTGATGTCAGAGCAAGGAGAATGGTGGGAAGACTGTTGAAATGATTCATAAAAAGGACTGAGAGAGAGGGTTATGTAGATTTCAAAGAAATAAACTTAACAGAACCTAGTGAAATAAGTAAAGGATGTGCAAAATGGAGGCGACAGCTGGAGCAAAGGGACAGTGCTCCCAAATGCTATAAGGAATCGGAGAGGAAGAGCATTGAGCTCAGTTTTGCTTCTGTTTGAGTTTATAGTGACTTTTTAATTTTTACATGGACATGTTAATATTTGGATAACAGTATCTGAACTCAATAGAAGGATCCAGGCAAAATATAGATTCCAAGGGCCTCCCTGGTGGCGCAGCGGTTGAGCGCTGGGTTGCAAAGCTGCCCACAGCCTCTGCAGCGCTGCTTCCATCCCCGGCTGCTCCCCAGCCACCGGAGGAGGTCCCACATGGCGCGCAGACCTCTCCTGCCGCCCGCTGCTCCCCTCAGCAGTGTACTTCGGTCCTTCTGCCTGCTCTGCTCCCCGCTCTGGCTCTGGTGAATTCTCTCACCCTCCCGTGCTTCTGACTGTACCCAGTGCTTGTATAAATAAATAAATCTTTAAAAAAATATATAGATTCCAAAATTCTGAGTTTTGTATGTAACAGTTAAAATCAAGACAGTGTACACTGTCACTGAGAGGAGAGTGGGAAAGTGATAGAGGACTTAAAGTTATGTAATATTTAGAAGCACAAAAAGCAAGAGGGTATAATGAGGACATCTAACACAAATTGGCCTCTTTTTTTTTTTTATTTATGCATACAAGAACTGGTGTACAGGCCAGTGGTATGGGGGGTGAGAAGATTCACCAGAGACAGGGTGGGGAACAGAATAGGCAGAGCAACTGAAATACACTGCCGAGGGGAGCAGTGGGAGAGTCAGGAGAGGTCAGCTGTACCATGTGGGTAGCTCCCTGGCTGGCCGGGGATCGAACCCTTGCTGCAGTGGCTGCAGACAGCTTCATAGGTTGCGTGTCAACCTCTTGTGCCACCAGGGAGCCCCCAAATTGGCCTCTTTTGACCAAAGAATGAAATGGTCAAAATATTCCATACAACAGAAGGAGAGCAAAATAAGCATCTAATTTGGTTGTGTTTGGCAGCTGGGAGTTTATTAGTGTTGTTTGCTATGTAGCTTTGGTGGCATGTTAATGGGAAGGTAGGAGTGGCTAGTCTGTTGTGGGCTAGTGACTACACATTTTTATGTATCAGAAGACTTGGTACAGGGGTGGGAAGGTTTTAATTAAAAGTGGTTGTTAAAAATAATAAACCAGACACTTAAAAAGAATGCTATAGAATAGGCACTTGGAAGATACCAGAAAAGTTGACGTGGATAAAATAAGGTCTTAAAAAGCAGGTTTTTATTTTTTTTTAATGACTATAGAAGAACAATTGCTTAGAAGTAACAAAAAACCTGGAGAATACCTCCTGGTTCTATGATTTCTGCAAAAATCATCTGTAAAAAAAGGAAGTAGTGTCCTCCAAGGTAAGCTGATTGTTAACCAAGGTAAGAAGGTTGAGGGAGAACTCCAGAAAGATTTTGATGCTAAAAAAAGTTCGTTGTTGATGGAATACAATTCCTTGGAGCAAAAGGGAATTGCATTTTTGTGGGGATCTCCTGTGAGTCAACAGTGGGTAACAGGTTGGAGATACTATAAGAGTGTGAGATAAAACTGGTAACTAGTTGAACTTTTCTTTGTCAGAGTTTCTCACTTGGAGAATTTTCTGCTACAAAAGTGACAATAGTGTTAGAAAGGTAAATTAATATATTTTAAAAATGTGCAGGATTTAAAAGCTATCTGCATACAGAACTACTGGGACCCCTAGGAATTTAGCATTCTGGAAATTTATGCATTAATGTATGGCATTTTTTTGGTAGATGCCAAGAGCACCTATGGACAATAGTGACTGACAGCTGAGTAGTTGCAGCAACTAAATAATGAAGATGTTTATAAAATATTAACTTAAGGAAAAACCTGACAAACGACAAAAGGTCTTGAGGTGATATTCTGCTGCCAGCCTTTATTCAGGGCTTTGTTCACTCAACAAACTTTGCAGTCTGACTTTTACTCATGCCTGGGGACACGTTATCACTGGATTCACAGTGATGGGTGGCCATCATTTTAACTGTTAACATTTCTTGAAGGCCAAGTATAGAATGGCTGTTAGTGATTCTCAAAAGTGATATTCTGTTCTTGGCTCTTTTTCAGTTTGTGAGTTCTGTGTCCTGTGCTTGATTTCTTTTGCTTTTCCGGGCTTCCAGGCACTCTGCCTTCTGCTTTTTTGGATTCTCTGTTCAAAGTGTACTACTCAAGTTAACCATGTTCCCATAATCACCTATTTATACTGAATGAAACTTCTAATTCTCTAGTTTTATTTGAGTTATTAGGAAGGAAAGTTGTCTGATTAAGACAGTTTATAGTAAGGCCACAAATGATTTTTAGTCTTAACTTTTTCAGTGGTCTTGTACTTCTAAAATGCAAACTTTTAGGGCCTCCCCAGTGGCGCAGGGGTTGAGCGCTGGGTTGGGAAGCTGCCCGCAGCCTCTGCAGTGCCAGTTCGATCCCCGGCCACCGGGCAAGGGTCCCACATGGCGCACAGACCTCTCCTGCCACCCACTGCTCCCCCAGGCAGTGTACTTCGTCAGTCTGCCTGCTCTGCTCTCTGCTCTGACTCTGGTGAATTCTCTCACACTCTGGCGCTTCTGACTGTACCCAGTACTTGTATAAATAAATAAAATAAAATCTTTAAAAAGAAATAAATTTCATTTAAAAAAAATGCAAACTTTTAGAAATTGTATACAGTAGATGATCTTAAACATGAACCTTCTCTTGTACGTTTTCCCTTCCTACCTGAAAGTCAACGAAGTAGTAGAAAGGAACAACCTACCTGGCTAGCCTTGTCTAAAAGCTGCCCACTCCAGATATTCACACAAACTGAGAATACACACAGCTATGGTATACTTTCAAAGAAAATGCAGTCTCTCAACTGTCTCTATCACCAGTTTGTATCAACAAATACCTCCCCTATAACTATTTTAATAATCCCAAACTGGACAGTGAATAGCAAGTTACTATCTGGAAGCTTTTTATTAAAGCAAAATATTTATCTGGTAGACTTGGTCAGCTTTGTACTTGATCTATATCCTCTTTGAAATTGTGCTTGTCACGCTGGCCTTGAATGAACTGGAGGAAGGAATGGGCTGGGGTGGGGCTACCATAATTTTGGTCCTTTTTGTGGTGTAGGTTCCAATTAAGTGCTTTTCATCCTTTCTCTTTTAATTCTTACATCAAAGGAGAAAAAAAATCATCTCCTTAAGCGGACACCCCAACCGTCAGTGGGGTAGTGACTCAAGGTCCTGCAGCTGGAAAACTTGGGAGCTGGTATTTGAATCCAAGTTGATATGACTCCCTCATTTCACTGGAAGGAAAGTCGTCTGATTAAGACAGTTTATAGTAAGGCCACAAATGATTTTTAGTCTTAACTTTTTCAGTGTTCCTGTTCTCCAGGAGGAAAGAGGATTGAATGACATGGCCAGCCCCCAGAGGCAGCAAATGAGGGTCACTGGGTCAGATAAGACAGACTAGAGAAAGGGAGGTGAAACCCAGAGTGCGGGGTGGCAGTAAGAGAAATTGGCTTACCTCATGATTAGGCCTCATGTGTAAATATTTAGGTGTTCTGAGTGCTTCAAATTTGATAACATGATGTTTTTTATTATTATTATTATTATTTTTAATAGAGGCATGTTCCATTTATTTATTTGTCTGCTTGTTTGTTTGTTTTGTTTATACAAGCACTGGGTACAGTCAGAAGCGCGGGAGGGTGAGAGAATTCACCAGAGCCAGAGCGGGGAGCAGAGCAGGCAGAAGGACCGAAGTACACTGCTGAGGGGAGCAGCGGGCGGCAGGAGAGGTCTGCACGCCATGTGGGACCCTCCTCCGGTGGCCGGGGAGCAGCCGGGGATCGAACCGGCGCCGCAGAGGCCGCGGGCAGCCTCGCAACCCAGCGCTCAACTGCTGCGCCACCGGGGAGGTCCGATAACATGATGTTTTGTGTCTCCTAACAACTTGTTAGCCCTCTGATTAGAAATCTTAGTTCCCATTGGGAGCCTGGGCCTGGGGACATCTATGTATGGACAATCCGCCATACTCTCTCCACCATGGGTCCAATGAAGTTGTTTTTGTTCTTAAATAGCTGCAGTTAGGATTTAAAGACATGATTTATAGGATGTAGCAGGTCCCACAGATATTTTTCTGAAGCAGCCCTGCCAAGTATCTGCCTTAGAGATGGAGAGTAATGACTCTGGACAGTTTCTTCATGGTGTTGTGACCCGAAGAATTTCTCCACTTTGCAGCTTCTATTTTGATGGTGTTTGTTTTCTGTCTCTATTAGTTCAGCTGCAGTAATGCCCTTGGTCAGGAGATGTACAAGATATCTTGGGAAGACTAGTAAGTCTATTCCGGTGAAGTGGATTTGTCAGGAAACCATCTTGATGGCATTTTTTACGAGACCTTTCATTCCCTTGATTTTCAGTCCGAGTTGCTTAGTAAATATGGTTGTTCTGTCCAGGGGATTTTCACTCTCATTATGGAATTGATGTTGCATCACAGTTCTAATCGGTTTACAACCTTTTCTGTTACATCTGGGAGCTCTGTCAGGGTGGAACATTGTTAAGTTCCGTTATGGAAAGCTGTTATGTTAGCTGCTTGGTTGGCCCTTAGAAGTGATCAACTCTTTATAGATTGCTTTTGGGGATGATTAATGCATGACCAGATTGAAAAACAGACCTGGGCTCTTTTGAAATGAGGGGAATTGGTTTCGAGGATCTCTACCTTGCCAGCTTTCCCATTACACCGTTAAATCTTACAGGAAAATTCACTATCATTTAGACTTGGCTGTGAATGCTGGTAGTATTTGACATTGTTATTATACTCATTTAACAGACAAATGATGGAATCAATCCTGAAAGCTAAACATCAGGGGATCCATCCTCAACCATGGGTATTCTGCCTGTGTTGTGATACGAGCAGAAGTGCACCATGTTTGTGTGTGTGATAATCAAATCATATGTGACATTATCTTTGCTACTTGGCAATCTTCTTGTAAAGTTACTAATTCATTTTGAGAAATCCTGTCTGCCCTTTCCCTCCAATATGGGACTACAAAATGATATAAATGGCTGAAATTACTTATTTTTGAAATATCTGTTAACACTTTCTATACCTATATCCAGAGACAATGAATGTCGAGGACATATCAAAAGATGACCGGAACTTCTTTGAGAAGATGCTTTTGATACATTTGACCTCATTTGCAGGCCCACGGGAGCAATTTAACTCTATATACTGTGTATCTCCAAAGCAAAGGTCCTTTCAAGCATCATTTGTTACCTGCTAGACTCTTGTTTGCATTCGAGCTGGCAGGTTTCTATGGGGGATCCTAGCTTAGCCTCCAGAGAGATTTATGTAAGCAAAGTGAATGGGGCATGTCAGTCCTTAAAAGAAAGAAGCAAAGGCATTGGAGGTCAGATTGTATGTGAGGAGACTTGCTTACCTGGATGTCTGTGAGCTGGGTGTTGGAGAAAATAGGTAAATTTATTAGATAGCAACTGGGATATGAATTAAGGCAGCACTAGGTCCTTTTAACGATAAAACCTGAAATCTCTGTCTTAAAACAATTGAAGTTTTTCTTAAGTCAAAAATGGATGTTACTAACGGGTGTATCTTTTTATTTTTACTTTTTATTTATTGGCTTACAGCACTGTATGATTTAGGGGAATAGATACACACCTCCTCAGATGTATGTCACCACACCACACATAATGGTTGACTCTGTCAAACAGTGTCGTAGGGGTCCAGGCTCTTTCTGTCATGTGGCTGTGCATCGGTAGTAGCACATGGCTTCTAAAGTCACAGCAGACAGGAAAAAGCAACGGTGATGGTGTAGGGTAGGTTGTCATAGACCATCCTGGAAATGGAGTGCGTTATTTCTGCCCACATTTAATGACTGTCCTTCTGCAGGGGTGACCAGCCATGTGCCAGCGAAAAAGAGGGACAGGTTGAGGGATGGCCACCAAGTCTCTAGCATAAGAGCCTGGGATGTCAGGGGTGAGGGGGCAGAGATGCTGGGATGTCTATTAGTCAATTGAGCATACATCTGCTAAATACATCTCTGTTGAGTCCTGTGTTATGCTCTGAGAGAACTTCGAAAACAAAGGAGAAATATGATGACAGAAGTTATTTTAAATAGACTAATTTTGAAAAATTAATCAGGTGGCAGAGTACAAAAAGGGGGAAGGCAATCTCTGTCAGGGAGGATGGTGAGGAAGATGTTTTTTCTCTTGTTGAGAGTCAGTGGGGTCATCTATACACATAGTCCATCAATATTATCAAAAATAACAATAGTTAATTATGTTTCACACTGTAAAATTATCAACCTTACATTTTTTAATCATCACTTACACCTGTGATGTAAGTACTATTTTCCTTTTATAGATAGTGGATACGAGGTTTTAAATCATTAAATCATTACCCTATAGACATATGTCTTGGCAGAGATAGAGAATTTGAACTTATGAAGTCAATGTTATTTTATATTACTGTGGAACTAATATAATATACCTAATTAAAATATAATGAGTTTAAGTGTGCAATAATGAGAAATCCCGTTAGAGACTTGAAACCTTAATAACTGAAGAAGTGAAATTAGTAGGGAAACAACCTGCTAAGAAATATCACTCTTCTTGGGTACATTTGATTGGTGTTAGATCAGTTTCTAATGAGAGCTTTTGATGAATGCTAGGCTGCTTGTCATATGACATCTTGACAAGCACTCTGAAATCTTCTGACAAATAGGCCAGAGCATCCATTTCTCTGTCTGACATCTTTGTTGTGATCATAGTATGTATAATTTTAAATAATGAACCTAAAATAATGTTTGTCTGATATTTCCAGAAATGTTAGTGAGCACCAAGAGACCTTTGGGTTGTTGATGTGAAGTTCTGTTTTTGGCAGTTGACTGCTGGGATGGCCCAGATGGAGAGCCGGTAGTACACCATGGCTACACTCTCACTTCCAAGATTCTCTTCAGAGACGTTGTGGAGACCATCAACAAGCACGCCTTTGTGAAGAACGAGTAAGTGAGCGGCACCAGGGCTCAGCTGCCTGAGCGCAGGGCTGTTTCCGGATGCCTCCAGGCCACACAACCACACACCCTCTCTTGGAGTGTGCATTTCCTTAGTCCTCTCCTTCCTTCTCAAATAAGAAACACTGGGAACAAATAATGTGGAATCCAAGTGTGTACTTTCTCATGCTCCATTTATTTCTTAATTTATCTCTTAGGACATGCCTCCCTGAAGCATGTTCTTGAAAATGTGACCTCAAAATTTCTAAGCCCGAGATAAAATTCTTCTATTCCATTTTCTTCTCCTTTAATAGTCACTATTTCCTTACTTGTTGCCTTTGATCTACTTTTTCATTATTTGTCTATTTATAAGTCCAAATTTTCCCCTTAAGGTTTGGACCTATATGGAAAAATTCTTGGTAAAAAATCTTATGCGTGTCCCCTCAGTACCTCAAAATCAGTAATGTCATTATTCATACATTTCTTGATGCCTACTCCCAGTAGAAACATTGTAACAGGTGCAGGGAGATACAGTTCTGAGCAAAAAATACGAGCTCTGGTACCAGGGCCTTACACCCCAAACTGAACATGCCACCTCATTCTGCCACCTCTTCTTGCTGTGTTTCCTTTTTGTCAGCACTGTCTACCAGAGGCTTCAGCCAGAGGCTGGGAATCATTCTAGATTCAGTCCCTGTTAATTCTACTTTTTAAATTATGTTTTGACTAATGCCTTCTCTCCATTTTCACTCCTGCTTTGGTTCATTCTGCACTGATAGAGTATTTTCCCTTCTGAAAACATGAGCATGATGTTGAAATCCTAAGTCCTTCAAACCCTTTGTAGAGCGGAAATATCTTCCATGACCTTCGAGGCCTGGCCTCTTCCTTCTTCTACCACTGTTGCTCCTTCTGCCTTCATCATCTGTCTTTCATGTTCCTCATTGATCCCAGCTCGTTCACAACTCCCTCCTCACACATATGCTATTTTTCTGCCTGGAACATCCCATTATTCCTCGTTGCTGATTCTTGCTCAGTCTACAAGTCTGCTAGAGCATTGTTACTCTGGCAAATGTATCGACACAGGTAGTTGATTTAAATCCCCCTTTGTTCTTAGCACCTTGAGCATATTTCTACTATATCATTTATAGTATCCTATTAAAATTGTTGGCTGTGTGCCTCCTTGTAAGTCCTTGAGATTGTGAACTCATTGAAAACATGGACTATGACTTATTCATTCTTTATTGCTCAACAAGTACTTCTATTATACCAGATATTACTGAAGTGATTTTGAATTACAGGAGCAAATTTAAATGACAATTTCATAAAATTAATTTTATAAAAATTAGCGGCTTTTAAAATTTTTAATACTTGGTCATATTAATTAACCATGAAAATGAAATATATTGCTGTAATATGAGACATTTGCTGTATAGCAATCAGGTCTATGGTGTCTTCCATGTGGGAGAATTTCAAGACCTGGTTTCTGATAGGTTGTTACTACCCCGATTGCTATTAGTCTAAGCAAACTGATGAAGTAATTTGGCCACTGTTTCCCAGTATGTGAGGTGGGGTGTTAAGAAGACCTGCCTCCTCTGTGCCTTGGAGGATCCTCTGGTCACTTGGTAGAGTTTCAAGTTTGGGAATTCTTGGGAGAAAAGCACTTCAAATCAAAACACTTGCTAAGTTTGTTTAGCACAGTTTGAGTTCAGCTTTTCCTTTTCTTTCTTGAACTTCAGTTGCATCTTATGCCACAGCTTCTCAGCCTTGGTACTATTGGTATTTTGGGTCAAATAACTGGTGTTGGAACTGTCTTGTGCACTGTAGGAGGTTAGCAGCAGCCTTCACTCTGCCCCTACAACCCATTAGCACTCTTCATATTGTGACCACCAAATAGGTGTTCAGATATTGACAAATGGCCCTTTGGGGTAGGGCACACAGTTGCCCCCTCTCCTATTGAAAAGCTCTTCTTTACACTAACCATCATTTGACACAGATAGGTGTTCTTATTGAGTTACAACTAACATTTAGATAGGGACTTTTTATAAACAGATGGATAATTTAAAAATTCATTGTTAGCACTCCCTGATGTGATCACATAGACGACTCAGGTCTGCTAGTTTGTTGTTGTTTTTCTCTCTGACACTCCGGGGTAAAAACCACATGAAGATAGAAGAGCAAATGGATTATAGTCAGATAAACAGAACTGCTTCAGTCGCGTTGGTTTAGCTCTTGTCTGACCCCCGGAATTGGGGAGTTTGTGCTTGTCATACAAGTACAAGCCCAGAAATAACAATTTTTTTCTCCACATGAATAGATTAAAGCAATTTAAATAATGGTTTGTATATTCTCTTAATTTGGAAGATAGGTGATGGAAGATTAGAAAAAATTCAAAATAAACCTGAATTTGAAACACTTTCTTAATCAGAGGGAAAAACCAAGTCAGAGAAGTAGGATCATGTCATCAGTCCTGGCTCCCTTTCTGCCTGGCCCCTACCTCCTTGGGCTGTCTTGGGAAATCACTTTACTTGGGTCTCACTCTCTGTGCAGAAACATGAGTGAGGCAGAGTGAATGCTTAACTTTTTTTTTCCCTTTCTGAAAATCAAGACAAGTCTAAAATTCTACATAAATGATTTGAAGCATAATGGAAATAAAATTCCTTTTTGTTAGGGCCTCCCCTGGTGGCGCAGTGGTTGAGTGCTGGGCTGCAAAGCTGCTTGCAGCCTCTGCAGTGCTGGTTCGATCCCTGGCCACCGGCGAGGGTCCCACATGGCCCAACAGACCTCTCCTGCCACGCCCGCTGCTCCTGTCAGCAGTGTATTTCGTCAGTCTGCCTGTTCTGTTCCCCTCTCTGGCTCTGGTGAATTCTCTCACCCTCCTGTGCTTCTGACTGTACCCAGTGCTTGTATAAATAAATAAATAAAGCTTAAAAAAAATTCCTTTATGTTATCCCCAATAGTACTTTTCAAACTTGGGGCTGGGCATGTATTTTTAGTGTAAATATCTATATTTAATAATATTCATTGGTCTCTTAGATGTCTCCAGGATTTTGGATAAATAAGACAAACTTACATTGTATGAGTTTTCTTTAAGTTTCTTACTGCTCTTAAAGTTGTCTTTTTTTTTTTTTTAAGAGACATAACCTGTGTACTCTCTGTGTGTATGTGTGTGTGTGATGTGAAATTTTACACTAAGGCACCCCACATGGATTGGTATTTTGTTCAACCATCACACCTGGCAAAGTATTCTTGGTCAGAGAAATTTTTCAAAAGTATATCTCTCCTCTGTCTCATGTTAGAAGCATTTTAATTGCCACATCTCTGTCACTAGGATAGTACAAGCGTAATGAATATGGAACAGAATGATTCTCAAAACCCTGTTTGAGTTGACTGTGCTTGACACCTTCAGAGGGTATTTTTGTTCTCCCAGGTACCCGGTTATCCTGTCCATTGAGAATCACTGCAGCGTCCAGCAGCAGAGGAAGATTGCAAAGTACCTGAAAGGAATATTCCAAGACAAGCTGGATCTGTCAGCTGTAGACACAGGAGACACCAAGCAGCTCCCAAGCCCTCAGAGCTTGAAAGGCAAAATCCTAGTGAAGGTAATTAACTGAAGGAACACGATAAAAGGTATTAATGACCTTCTGAGCCCTCCCTCTTATAAGAATCAGAAGGAGAATTATTAGTGTCCGATGGTTACCTTGGTTCAGGTATGCACGTTTTTCCAGTTTATTTATAGTCACACCTTCAGAAAAAGCTTATTTTTGATTGAGCACATACTCTGCAGCTGGATGTTATGACGTGCAATAAGCCCAATGTTTAATATTTCAGTCTGTGATAGTTCACAGGGGGGAGAAATGTGTGTATAGGAGCCTGGGGTACAAGAGTAGGAAAAAGTCCCATTGTCCATATCTGAAAGCATTTCTTTCAGAGTCTTCTCTCCCATTTCAAGCTCCAATAATTGTCTGTCTGTCAAAAAAAAAAAAAAAATCTTCACAGTTGAGCAGCTTTGGTTATGTAAGTGAGAAGAGCTGGCTTCAAAGAGGAGCAGAGGTGCAGACATAATGCCCCACAGGACTTTGTGCCTGTGAAGAAGGGGGAGGTGAACAGAATGGTATTTCATAACAGATTTTCTGAGAGAGGAAACTTCCTACCTGCTGTGAACACTATTAATTCAAGGAATAGCCAGAAAGATTGTTCCCTGAAATTTCAGGTAACTGGCTTTGTAATTTTACTTAATTCCAATTAATTTTGTGCATTTGGACTAAAACCCACTTAAGTAGTTGGATTGTTTTGAGAAAAGAAGCTCTAGGAAGAGCAGTAGGGTATTAACATTCAAGCTGTATTCTATTTTATCTTAAAAGGGGTGTGTGCATAAACCCAATTATCACATAGGAGACATAGGAATGTCATTGAAATCGTGTGATTTCATAGCAAGACTTTGGTGGAGGCTTGAAGGGAGGGCAACAAGTGGGAAAGTTGTAAAACTTTCATCTTTGAAATTAGTCTCAACCTGTTTTTCTATCCGATGAGAATTGTAGACTGAATCCATCCAAGAGGCATTGTCAGACATTTGTGTGTGTGTAAGCATTTTGAATAAAAGCTTCACATAATGCAAGAGGTGGATTTTAAGTTTTGCTAAAGCAAACTCCTGTGGGTTAGAAAGCTAAATGTCACGGTGACAACTGTGTAAATATTTTCTTGTTTCTTAAATGGTCTGTAGCCAGCAGGCAGGAGGTTAAATACAGAAAAAGTGACTTTGATTGAAAATCTTCTCTTTTGGACAGTGGAACTTACACTGCATATTTTGCCCTTCTGCGTATCTAGATGTTAGGTCATTGTGCAGAATGTCCCAGGGCTCATGCATGTGCATGGACCAGTCATAGCCAGAAGGTGTTAGCCGCCTATCAGAAACGGGCTGGGGGACTGTGAACAGCCAAGACATCGGAGGTCCATTTGCAAGTAATAACATTCTTCAGACTTTAAGGAGATGTCCTGGATTTATCACTAGTGCATTCCCATTTGAGGCAAAAACAAGGGAACTAATTTTCCTGTGTTCCTTTAGCATCAGAGCAGTTTCTACCCAGAGGCAGCATTTAAATGGCTATTTACCATTTTGGAGATTGGTGAGGTGTTTTTTATTACAGCTACATCCTACACACTTTCCAACGGTGTGTGCATATATGAGTCTATCTAGGAAAGTAAGCAAAAAATTGCTTTTGAACTAAAGTAATACCTTAGTCACTTTTCATAGGCTCTTTCTGCTGAAAGAAACCTTAACCACATGTCTTCACTCTCCTCTGTTTATAGTTGTGGATCAGACTGTGCAGGTAACATTGAGGGTAGTGGTGGTCCCAGTTTCTAGCAATATTTCCATACACCATGGGCGAGTTAATCTAATTTTGGAGTGTAATGCCTGTCTAAAATAGTCTGTATATCAGAAAGGGAACCCTAGAGGGCCTCCCTGGTGGCACAAGGGGTTGGGATACACTCTATGAAGCTGTCAGCAGCCACTGCAGTGCGAGTTTGATCCCTGGCCAGGGAGCTTCCCACATGGTACAGCAGACCTCTCCTGACTCGCTCACTGCTCCCCTCAGCAGTGTATTTCAGTCAGTCTGCCTGTTCTGCTCCCTGCTCTGTCTCTGGTGAATCCTCTCACCATCCACCCACCCCAGCCCTGCCCCAGACCTCTGGCCTGTACTCCAGTTCTTGAATGCATAAATAAATAAATCTTAAAAAAAAAAAAAAAAAGAAAGGGAATGCTAGAAACCCCCTGGGTGGATCTTCGGTTTCATCTACATTGGATCCCATCTAAGTTCTGTAAGTCACATTGTAGTCTCCCTCAATTGATGGTTTTCCTTAGGAACAACACTGTTGACGAGAGGCATTAAGAAGCAATGTTCTGTTGCATTGCTTTTCTTACTATTAATATTTCCCTGAATAGAGTCTCTTTTGAGAACCAAAAATTTAGACAATACCTGCAGAAAATATGCCATCATGTCTTTTAATTAGATTTTAAAAGGACTGAAGATAGGGAGGGCACCTTGTAGACGCCCCCTGGGCAGGCAGCCTTTGCTCCCTGCTCTCACCCACTGCCTGGCACACCCAGAGCTGAACTGGTGCTTAGTACAGCTGTCCCCTCCCTTTACCACCTGCTGGTCATATGTATCAGGTTTATTGCTTACTTGGTGATGCTTTTTCTCATGTTTGTTAGCTTTGTTCTGCTGGACATTTAAAAAATATATTGACTTTGATGGGATTTCAGAAGAGGGAATTGTGCTCGCCATCTGGTGTTCAGGTCCTTGTCTGCCATTGTGGCCAAAAACAGTTCACTCAGAATAGTTGGTGGTGAATAAGTAAAGAAAATTTTATCTTGATGTCTCTACATTCCTGAATGTGTCTGGTCACCACTTACTTAAATGACCTTATTTTTTTTCTTTTTTTTTTTTTTAAGATTTATTTATTTATTTATACAAGCACTGGGTACAGTCAGAAGCGCGGGAGGGTGAGAGAATTCACCAGAGCCATAGTGGGGAAGAGAAACAGGCAGACTGATGAAATACACTGCTGAGGGGAGCAGCGGGCAGCAGGAGAGGTCTGCGTGCCATGTGGGAACCCTCGCCAGTGGCCGGGGATCGAACCGGCTCTGCAGAGGCGGCAGATAGCTTCGCAGACCAGCGCTCAACCGCTGCGCCACCGGGGAGGCCCAAATGACCTTATTTCTGGTGCTGCTATTTTATCAGCGCTACTCTCCAATGACCCCTAAAATGAAGAAAACAAAGCTCATTCTACTGGCGCCTTCTATGGCAATAAGACTTAAAATAATATATGGACATGAATGCCTCAATTCAGAACTATCTTGTAATTAATGATGCACAGGTGGAAGTTAAAAAAGTTTTGCCCTTTTAAATAAGATTAATGAATATGTTTCATGTATGCACATGTGATATATGTATACATAGATCATATTATATAATATACATGGGATACACACACATACACACACACACATATTCTTCCTGAAAAGGAAGAGTATAGTTTTCACTTTGCAGATAGCAGATACCTATAAGGAATAAATATAATACTAATACAGATGCAAATGAATTCCCACCTTTTTAATCCTATTAACAGCCCTTTGAAAACTTAAGACAGTGTTTAAGCCTTCAAACCCCAAGAGTTTGCATTCTTAATGTAGATTTTATTTTCATCAAATTCATGATTTAGTCAACCTTGACACCATCCCTGTGCTAAGGACCCAAGGTCAAGAGCTTTGTGTATTAGAAAGGTGCAGGAACACTGGGAGTGGGATTTTTCAGAAAATATTTCCTAGTCTGTAGTTCTGTGGAGGGAGGAAGTGAGTTTAGGGGAAGATCCAGAATGCTGAAGAGGGGCCCGTAATAGTGTGGGAGTAGGAGTATTGGATGACACAGGAGCTCGACTTCAGAGAAAACTGGACTGCATAACAATTTGGGTTATTTAGAAATGTACCTCTATTTTTGGTTGTCAGGCATATGAATGTCCTATGTCGAAGGAATTCTTTCCCTTCCCAATGTTCTATTGAATTCCCTCGTTGGCACTAAAAATGCCAGACACTTGCCTCTCTTAGAGGTGGTGTGGGCACATGGTCCAGATGCCACCATTTTGAGTCAGTGTGACTCAGCCATCAAAGTGGAAGTAGGGGAGATGAGCCCAAGCCAACTCCATCCTGGTGAGGGGTGGCAGAGGCGGTGGCAGCTGCATTTAGGCCTAAGGACAGCATTTCTGGTGGTAGTTCCTGGTGTCTATTATGTGGATAATAGAATCAAAAGCAGTGAGCTCTGTGCTTATTTGTGTTGGAAACAGCATCTTCTGAAGATTACTTCTGCCCCAGGACTTGGTTGGTGATCATGTTAGCTGTAGCTGCATGTCAGTTTATCCCCAAACTTAGCATCTTAAGACAACACACATTATTCTACAGTTTCTTTGGCTGAGCAGGTCCACTCTTCTGTCAAGGTCTCAGGAGGCTGCAATCAAGGTGTTCTAGAGGGGAGAGGGGTGAAGGCAGGTGAGCCTGATGGTCATCTGTGATCCAGTCCAGAAGTGACATCCATCACTTCTGCTGTATTTCACTTGTCAGAGGTGGGTCCCTGGGTCCAGTCCACACTCGTGGGGTGGGAGTACAGAAGGGCACAAACACCCAGAGCCTGGAACTGCTAGGGCTATTTTAGAGGCTTCCACCCTCCCTCACTTTCTTTAGAAGATTCTGGGAACAATTCAATTTCCTATTACTATTTCTGCCTGCAAATAAGAAGCCGTACTGATACAGATGGTTAGCTGCCCTGGGAGCCCTTATCAGGCCCTGAACTTACCCTCTGCGGCTGCTTTTTATTTACTTTTACTTTTCCTGAATATAAATTGGGAAAAGGAAAGCATAACTATCAGCCATTGCGATGTTTACCCTGAGATACTCTGAAGGCCATGTTTGGTGCCTGCATTTTTGCACATCATTGGGGTCATTTTGTGTCTGTAATTATATAGCTTGAGTTTCTTATTTTATTGTGTTTCCTGATGTCATCAAGTTCCTGATTCCTAAAATGTGGTGTGGTGGTGAGGGCACGCTCCATCTGGGGTCTTTGGCCTTATCTCTGAAAGAGAGACCTGTCACTGCAGAGGGAGTGGAGGGCAGGGCACAGCTGCTATGCTCGGAGGGCAGGGCATAGGCCATGCTTGTTGTGATGAATCATTTAGCCTTGAAAAGAAGCCTGATCTGATTGTTTATTTGTAAATATATTGTCCCTCAGTCATTATATTCTATTGAAAGTAATAAACCTGCCATTTGACAGACTCTTCTCCCTGACTTTGCCCCAACCCAAATTATATGCCTTCTAGTTAGTTTGAGGTCACGATTGGTCAAGGGATATCGCATTTTATTTCCAGTTTCCACTGTTTTTATACACATAAGATACACATAAGATAAAATTTGCCTACCATCTTACTTTACGTTTTCAGTTCAGAGCTGGTAAGTACATTGACATTGCACATGACCCACCTCCAGAACTCTGTGTGTTGTGAAACCAAAACTCTATACCCACTCTTCATAGTCCTCTCTGCCCATGCCCTGGAAACTACCATTCTATTTGCTGTCTATGTGCATTTGACTCCAGGGGACCTCATAATATTGGAATTGCACGGTATTTGTCTTTTTTTCACTTACCCTAATGTCCTCAAGGTTCATCCATGTTATAGCATGTGTCATGCCCTTCCCTTTTATGGCTGTGTAGTATTCCATTATACACATGGACCACATTTTGTTAATCCATTCATCTGTCAGCATAGTCTGGGTTGCTTCCTCCTCTGATTATGAATTTATAGTCATTTTAAAATCAGGTGTTTTGTTTCATTTCAGGGCAAGAAGTTGCCTTATCACCTTGGGGATGATGCAGAGGAAGGGGAAGTTTCTGATGAAGACAGTGCAGATGAAATTGAAGATGAGTGCAAGTTCAAACTCCATTATGTGAGTTACAAAGCATGAGTTTTTCTGTCAATGTACTGCAGTAAAAGTTGCTGATGCGTTGGAATTTTTATGAATATGGTGACAGCAGAGTAAAAAGTAACATTTATTGAAAATTACCTGTTTGCTAGCACACAGGCACAGGGATATTTGTTGAAAGAATGGGATAAGGATTCTTGTGTCTTAGGGTTGGAAGGAATGTTAGTGATAAACCCACCTGACCCCCTTATCAGGGATAAAGTCCTTTCTAATACAGATTAGTCAAGACTCAAAATGCAGGAAATGTCACTGTCTTTGATGAAATAAGCTGGCTTTAGCATTGTCTCCTTTGCCTGTGTTAGTAGCCCCCAACACTGCTGCCTGCCCAGGCTTCTTCTGTTGGATGCCCACACCTGCCCTAATAAAGTGCACCTGGACCAGTGCATCATTTCCAGGCTCTTCCAGATGTTGGACTCGTGGATAAATCATTAATTTGCCATACCTTAGTTAAAAAGATATAGAATAGTTTACCTGCTTGATGCTTCAACCCCTGTTGCAAATCAAGGAGCTTTGTAGCCAGGTTATCCCAGGGAAATGCAAGTTAAAGAGACACCCTCCTTTGTGGGAGTGAGGGGAGTGGGGGCTAGGATTTCTTGCCTAGCCTCTCTAATACAACTCACGTGATTGCAAGAAATACCTCACAACCCCAGAGTGGTACTGTTCATGTCAGTTTTAGGGTTTGCAATTTCATTTTTACAGAAAAACGGTATTCCTCTAGGCATTAGGACTGTTACTGTGCCCTAAAAAGCAAACATTTTATATAAAATCTTCTAATTTACATCATTAACTTGAATTTAATCATCACATTATTAAAAATGGTCTTATTTCTTCTTGATAATGGTTAAGTGATGGCTCCTGTAGATACCAGAGGGACCCAGCATTATTTTCAAAGGGCCAAGAGCTTAACGAAAACTGAAATCTCAGCAGACACTGCTATCTTGGCTTCAGTGCACCAAAAAGGAATGAAGTGGATAAGATTCAGCTTGAACTGAATTAATTGTGTATTAATCTTTTGCCTTTTAATAGTTTATAGGAGCTCAAATACCACTAACAAATCAGGTTTGCAAAAAATTAATTTCATTAGATTCCTATAAGTGAAAACATAATATTTTAAGTAGTTTCCTTTCTGTGTTTCCAGATACTTGCTATTTTTTATAATTGTGTGAGATTATGGATAATTTAGCTCTGTATTTTTAACTTTATTTTATAAACCAGATTTTTGCCTCTGGCTTTTATTTTCTTTGCATCTTGCTTTCCAAATCTGTTGGTTGTCAGCCTCAGAGGAGTCTATCATTTGAAAGCAGGGAACAGAGAGGTTTGACTAAGTTACGAGTTTAGGGACTGATTTTAGTGCAAAGGAGTGGTGGAAATTTAACTATCACAATGGATTCATTTATTGTTCTGAGAAAAACCCAGAATTTTCTAAATCTATCCACCTATATAATTTTTCTTCAAAGGTCAGTGAGCCTTCTAACTTCCACAGTGAAATCTCTGTAATTATAAGGTTTGTTAGCTACAGCTTGACAGTCACTTTGCCTGTGAAAATATTCGACCAAGTTCTTCTCATCTTTAAAGTGTCTCCGTTGATTAATAGGAACTCATGCAGGCTGATAGTTCAGAACATTATTCTGTAAAGATCGAAATGATCTTTCACTTGAATTCTTGGATTCTGGCCTAAGTGAAAGTAGAGGGCACTTTAATTGTAAAGTTGTAGTGCTCTCTTTGTTGGACATAGGTGAGAAGGTGTAAAAAGGAACCAAAATTTAATGGAAATATGTAAAAGTTTTACTCAACTTTCTCAGGCCTTTTTTCTCTACTTTCTATTTTTTTTTTTTTTTTGAGAAAAGACAATACTGTATTTAGGAAAACAATGTGTTATCCTATGATCACTCAGTTTATAATGTAATTGTCAGCAGAGGGCTCAAATGCCTTTTCTCAGTGTTGAAGGTAAATTGCCTGATCCCACCCGAATCCCTGGTCATGTTTCTGCAAAAGTACATTGTTTAAGTCAACCTAATAATTACCTTGGAGGACATTCTTTTTTTTCTTTTTTTTTTAAAGATTTATTTGTTTATATAAGAACTGGGGTACAGGCCAGATGCGTGGGAGGATGAGAGGATTCACCAGTGACGGAGCAGGGAACAGAACAGGCAGACTGACGAAATACACTGCTGAGGGGAGCAGCAGGCGAGACAGGAGAGGTCTGCCGCACCATGTGGGACCCTCGCTGGCCAGCCGGGATCGAACCAGCACTGCAGAGGCTGTGGACAGCTTCACAGTGTGGTGCTCAACTGCCTGCACCATCAGGGGAGGCCCTCTTTTTTTTGTGTGTGTGTGTGGGACCCTCGCCTGCAGCTGGGGAACGAACCGGCACTGCAGAGGCTGCTGGCAGCCTTGCAGCCCAGCACTCAACCTCTGCGCCACCAGGGGAGGCCCGAGGCCCTCTTTTTTTAATTATTTTTAATATATTTTTTACATCATAATTCTGTTTTTGTACAATGTATGCTTTCTCATCTTGCTGATTTGGAGGACATTCTTAATCTCAGTTTTAAGTTAACAAAATGTGGTTAGATTTATAAGTTTATTGCATTAAATAAAGATTTTTGTTTCACATTCATGAACACAGGAACAGTAATTCTCATGAAGCTTTTAGAAGATCATTTGCACATACAACAAACTATTACTGAGCATTGTCTGTTGGGATGTGACCACCATGCCACAGGTGTTGGGGACTATATCAGTAGTCAAAGCAGCAAAGATCTTTGCCTTTGTGGAGTTTATACAGTCACAGAGGGGAAGGATAGGCAGGGAACAAAGCAAATAAGTAACATAGTTAGAGTGCTAGTGGTAGTGCTAAAAGAAAAGGGAAGTAAGGGAAGAAGGGTGTGTGTGGGCGCACACTTTTGAGTGAGTATGTGCATGTGCCTACATATAAGCATGGGTGTGCGAAGGGTCTATTGAACTTGTAGATGGGATTGAAAGATTTCACAGAAAAGTTAACATCTGAGTAAAGACGTGAAAGAAACAAGGAGTTAGATATGCTGACTTATGGGGAAGGATGTTTCAGGCAGAGGGAAGAGAAAATGCTAAGATCTGAGGAACACCCCCCAGTTCCCTGGTGTTAAAGCAGAATAGGGGCTAGATTCTCACCAGGACCTCTAACTGCTAGTAGTCTGCTGTTACTTCTAACTATGGGATTCTAATTACACTGAATATTTTTGTTCATGTAGTAAGTGCTTACTTTTATTGAATTAATTAAATCCTTTTAACTTTTGCCTCATTTTGTGACTTTGGTCATAGAGAAAATCTGATTAGATGGATCGAGCAGAAGGTAAAACTGGTGTGTTCAGTTAACCAAGAATCATATAGTTCAAAGACAGAGGAGACAATTTCCTTTCAGTTACAGTAGGGTAATCTTACAGATTTGATTCAGTAAGGTCAACTCACCATTATTCATTTTTATGGGACCCTCTAATGTCTGTGGGTCTTACAGACTTTCAACCCCCATTTTCAACTTCGCTGTTTTTTCCCCTGTTGTGTTCAGCTAGTCACTGTCGTTTTCCAGTGCTCTCTAAGCCAGTGTTTAACCAACCTCTTTTGCAAAATAGCAGCACCAATTTTTTTTATCTCTTGAACAAATTTCTTTATCTCTTGCACAAATTTCAGTCCATAAACACCAAGGCTTCCAACAAGTTTTAATGAGTTCTAGTAGAGCAGCATGGAGCATGCAGCATGGAATGTCTTTGTTATGCTGATTCCCTAAGACTGTCATTTAATTTGTGTGTCTTGCACTAAATATTTTAATCGTTTTCCTCCCTTCCAACTACCTTTACTACAGATTGATCTTTTTTTCCCTAAGGTACTCATTTTATGATATGAATCATTTCAAGAAGGATTATGAATCTTGGTTTAAGACTTGTCAGTAATCGTTGATTGATTGGTTGATTCACCTGATCAGGTGTGAAGTCTTGCTACTGAGTGTTCACTCAGACAGTAAGCTCACCTGCTAGTTGTGCTGTTGTGTCCTGGCAACAGGGTGCAGGGAGGGGAAAGTGACGACCAATGGAAGCACCCCGATAGCCACATGACTATCACATGTCTAACTCCTGCACTGGGAGTTAAGAAAGCTAGGGTTGCAGGCAGGAGACAGAAGAGGACAGTAGTAAATACAGGACTTGAAGACTGAGAAGCAGCTGCTCGTCAGCTAAAATCTTCAGGTAACAAGTGTGGAAAGCTCTATGCCATGCACCAACGGCAACTTATACATTATCCTTCCTGTTGACAGACTATAACCTTGAGGGAAAAAGAGACGCTTTGAGATGGTGAGATACTCCAAGTTTATTTTTTAAAACTAAGGTCTTCAACTTTCCCTCCATCGTAGAATGGCAGGAAGGCGCTCAAACATCCCTGGCTCCCAACCCAGAAAGTCCCATATAGTGGGTCAGGGGTATGAGAGTTAACACTCTCCAGTGATTTCAGTGTGTGGCAGAGCATATCTCTACTATTTGAGAGGCTCCCATTTTTAGGGATAGCCCCTCCGACCAGGTCCTCTCTCCTCCTGCTGCTTCCTACCTGGGAGCCATGGCCCTTCTGTTCTGGGTGGCTGGCTGGCTTTGCAGTCAGCCTTTCACTGCACGTTGGAGACAAGTCAAGAACGTGCTTGCATGTTAATTTATTTTTCTGTGCCATAAATGTTTCTAGATCATATTTACCTCTCAGAAAAAGAATTGGGAATCCTGATTATTCTATGGTGGAAACTTCCTGACCTTTGGAGAGGCTGCACTGCCCTCCCCCACCCGCAGTAGCATCTTATTCTCCCACTGGCTCAGGGAACAAAAGAACACCCGCAGGTGGCCTTCGAATGCCGTCCCCTGCACAGCTGCTCAGTGGCTGGCAGGTCGCAAGGTCAAGTGTCTGTCTCATCTTTCTTTCATAGTGTTATTGGATTCCAGCTCTGAATGATAATATATTAATGTAACCTCCACCTCCATTTATTTAGCGGCTAATTTTCTTGTGCTGTAAATCACAGAGGAGAAAAAGATCAACAGGCAGAATTATCATTCCTTCAGCAACCCCAAGTTTAGAGGGTGTGAAGTCAATAATTAGAGCCTTGGTATTAAGCATTCATTCCTTCAGCAGCACCAGTTGGCCTTGGGCTGGTATTTTCAGTCCTGCTTAGCTGACCAGGGAAGTGTCTGGGTTTAATGGCCACAGCTAATCTCCTCACTGTCTCCCAGCCTGGAACTGGTTAACCAAGTGGGCCATACAAATCCAATAGCAAGCGTCCCAATAGAAGAGGCAAAGACGCAGACAGAAGAAGGGGCACACACAGGAGATGGCCATGTGAAGAGAGAGACAGGGCTTGAGTTTTGCTGCAGAAAGACAGAGAGTGCTCACAGCCACCATAAATTGGAAGAAGCAAGGGAGGATCTTCCCCTAGTCCCTTTTCCAGCCCAGGTGACCAAGTGTATTCCAGTTTTATTGCCACTCCCCTCCTCCATGGGCTTCTGCTTCAGGAAAGTTATTCTGTGGCTGTTGTTTGCAGAGATGCTTTGCTCATATAAAATCTTTGCCAAAATGGTGGTGATGTTACAGAGCAATCCCCATATAAAACGTGTTGCCTGACTGTGGGTCCTCACCCATACATTTAAGGGGACTTATTAATGCTAAACTGCAGACTCACACAAAAAGGTTAATAAAAGGTTTATTTACAAGGGAAGGGAAGATGGGGAAATGAATAACTCAGGGAAAAAAAGAGGGAGATAAGTTTGTAAATGCACCCTACCTGTTCCGCTGACCTGGAATCCCAATGACCCGCCGAGCTGGTGAAAAACCACGCGCCGTGTGGCCAAAGAAAGAACCCCCCACCCCCCTCTCATCCCCACCCACATGGACGGTTAAATACTCAAACAGAGAACATAACTGCTTAACTCCACCCTCAGGTCCTCGCAACCCTCCCTTTGGTGATCATGGGATTTGTAGTTCCCTGCGTCTTGATAGAGTGAGGATGGGGTCCACAAAGCCTGTATGGAGTTTGCTCAAGACATCCTTTCCCCCTAACAGTGACAGAAAAGCCTTTCTCATTGCTTCTTAAGCCTTAATTTCCCATGCAGACCTTGTCATTTTCCTGGTCACTTAGGCAGGAAGACTACATTCCTCCCAATCCTGTTGTACTGGCCATCGGTGGCCAGTGGGAATCTGTGTAGCCACAACTTTATTAGTATAATGGGGCATTTGCTCCCGATGTCATGCATGGGGTCTTTTCTACCTTGGTAGCTCCTCCAGGACTGAGGGCTCTGGTGAAGCGAGTAAAGATGTTTGTGTGCAGGCTATTAACATAGGGAAATTCAACAGCTTAGCTTGTGGTAGCTTCTTTTTCCTCCTTCAAATTTCCCTTTGGGCATTTATATGCTGTGCTCTTACAAAATAGGGTGAGAATGCATTACTGGAAAACTCCCTGTTTATAAGGTTTAAATATAAAGAACTCTCAGCAACAATCAGTAGAAAGTGGGCTTAGACTTTCCGGGAGGTATATGGAAACTGTGATTGTGGAAGATACCTTTGTCCCTATCTGTGAGCGAGGTAGGCCTTCTGCAAGTGGTGGAAGGATGTTGGAAGAGGGTTGGACCCAGGGAGATGCAAATGAAGTCGAGAAACCGAGAGGCAGTGCAGAGCTTGGCCACTTTGTTGCAGGCAGAACATGGTGGCCAAAAGGCTGTGCTAAGCCAGAATGCAAGGAAATCTGTCTCCCTTCATCATCTGAAAATTGCGTAAGTCATCATCTCATCAGGGCATAGCTTTGTTATCCCAAACATTTGAAATGAGTTGTGATCTTGAAGTAACGATAATGGTAACTCATGGCACAGGTCTGCAGTGAGTGCCCTCTAATTACACTGTGGGGCTGGAGACAAGAAAGAAATTTTATCTCAGAATGAGCCTCAGCCCAGAGAGAGATTCCCACATTTTTTATTCCCCCACAGCTTTCTTTTCCCCTTAGTGAAGAAAGTGGTTTTATAAAAGAGTTTATTTTTTGCCCAGATTTACCTTTGTAGTTCTAGAAAACTTAGTCTCCAAAGTCTTTCTCTGACCTTCCTTTTGTTGAAATGGCAAATGGCACAGCGGGAAGGATGTTTGAATCCAGTTTCAGTTACTTTCTGGCTTTTTTTAACCTTGAGCAACTTAATTCTGTAGCTTCAGTTTCTGCATCTCTGAAGCAGAGATAATGTAGACTTTTCAAGGTTCTTGAGGGTTGAACTCAGTATAGTGATCATGATCATCATATGGGTTTGGGGAATGTGCCTGGGGGATGCAAAACAGTACACTTCTTACAAGTAATTGAGAGATAATCAAATTATAGAAGCTAGGGCCTCCCTGGTGGCTCCAGCCTTTGGACCTATCCATAGCTGCTGCAGCACAAGTTCTGTCCCCTGCCAGGGAGCTGCCCACATGGTACAGCAGACCTCTCCTGACTTGCCTGCTGCTCCCCTCAGCAGTGTATTTCAGCCAGTTTGCCTGTTCTGTTCCCTACTCTGTCTCTGATGATTCCTCTCACTCCCCCTCTCCCCGCCCCCCCATCCCCCAACACACAACTCTGGCCTTGTTCCGCAGTTCTTGTAAAAAATATATAAAAAATAGTCAGGGTGTTTTGAAAAAAAAAAAAAAAATAGAAGCTATGTTGACTTAAAGAAATGATGTGTTCTAGTGATTCTGTGTTTCTCTAGGGAAATGACTTCCTTTGTTTAATTCCTTGCAGAATAATGGGACCACTGAGCATCAGGTGGAATCTTTCATAAGGAAAAAACTGGAGTCACTGTTAAAAGAATCTCAGATTCGAGACAAAGAAGATCCTGATAGTTTCACAGTGAGGGCGCTATTGAAGGCCACACATGAGGGCTTAAATGCACACCTGAAACAGGTATCCAACTCTCTCTTGTAGTTGTCCTTTGGTAGGAGAGGAAAGCACCTAATGCTTTGTTTTTGATCACTTTTCAACTGTGAAATGCTTCTCCAAGTTTCTTCTATTTCTATTCTCGTATTAATTGAGAAAGATAAATCTATAGCAAAACAATGTGAGAAATAGTTAAAAGTGATGGTTGGGGGCAGAAATAACTTAAATACTGCTTTACTGGGAACCACCAGGACAAAATGCAGTGCCCTCCCCACCACCTGTCTTCCCCATGTTAGCTCAGGTACGGGAAGAGCCACCATGAGCCCCTCCCCCAATATTCAGTCAGCCTCGTGGGGTGACCATATTTCCTACATATGGCTCCTGTGTCGGCTCCTATGTGTCCACTTTCCCCCTCTACCTCTGTGTCCTAGTCTAGGCCAGTGTTATTCTTACCTCCACTTCTCCTGCCCTCCTTCAGTCTAATCTCCGCTCTGAAATCAGTATGATGTTTTAAAAGTGCAAAGCAGACCACTTCATTCCACAATTGAAAATTCTTCAGTGGCTTCCCATGACACTTGGGATAAATTATACTCTTGGACCACACTTTCAGGGATCTGAATCATTGCATTCTCGCTACACCTCTACCCTCAAATTCCCCCACACACCCTGACACGCCCACTCCCGTGGTTATCACAGAAGCCTCATTCTGTTTCTTTTGCCCGCAACATTCCTTCCATTTTTAAATTAAATCTACCTTTAACTGAAAATGGCCTATCACTACAGCAATTTCTAATTAATACAACCTGTACTGTGGATAGCCTGTGAGCAGGCACAGAGGGTCCTGCCCAGCCAGGCTTTACCAAGAGGCACCTGACCCCAGCTTTGGGAAGCTGTTGGCAGCTATGTCTCCTGGCAGGTACCCAAATCTCTCTGTGCCAGTGTCCTCCCTCCCACCTCTCAAGGTAGTCTCAGCCACCTTTGGGGCAATGGTGGAGTGAAATAGGAGGAAATGAGTGGGATCAGCCTGGTTCCCACCTAGCAGCAGATGGGGATAATGTCCCTCTGCTGTTCCTCCAGACCTAAGGAAAACCCAAATGAAGAATAATTATTCTTTATTTACTCAGCATCCGGATGTGAAGGAAAGTGTAAAGAAATCACATGGACGATCCCTCATGACCAACTTTGGAAAACATAAGGTATGAATTAAGAATGATAAATGTGCATAATTCAATGATGAAATGATTCTGGAAGGAAACAAAAGAAAATATCTTCATGATCTTGAATAGCTAATGATGCCTTTAGTAGGACCCCAGGAAAGGAAATAGTTGATAATTGTGTTTTAAAATTTAAGAACTTCTGTTCATCAAAGTATCAGAAAGCAAGTAGCATACTGTGAAAAAATTTTTGCCTTAAGAAAGGGTTTATTGGGCCTCTCCAGTGGCGTAGGCAGTTGAGCCCACACTGTGAAGCTGACCATAGCCTCTGCAGCGCGGGTTCAATCCCAGCTGGTGAGAATCCCACATGGCAAAGCAGACCTCTCCTCTCTTGCCCACTGCTCCCCTCAGCAGTGTATTTCATCAGTCTGCCTGTTCTGTTCCCCTCTCTGTCTCTGGTGAATCCTCTCACCCTCCCGTGTATCTGGCCTGTGCCCCGGTTCTTGTATAAATAAATAAATCTAAAAAAGAAAGTGTTTATTGTCAGTAATTGTGTTTCATCAATCTGGGTGGAAGTTTTTCTTGTTTTTAATGTGCTAATTAATTGCTTTTCAATGGTAAGTGACAACTGTTAGATATATTTTTGAATTGAATCATTGCTCAATGGCAGTTCTTGAGTTACATTTTTATTTTTTCCCAACATCCTGGCTATTGTAGCAGTTTTTCCTCTGCCTGGAATACTATCCTCTTTGCTTGTGATCCTAATTCTTCTTCAGATATCAGCTCTTAGACTTTTACCTAACCTTATTTTATACTCATAATTTAATCTGTAATATTTCTGTGATAAATTTAAACATTGTGATCACTTGATTAATGTATTTCCTTGTTTCTAAGCTGTGAGTTTAATTAGGGTAAGATTACAGATAATTTTGGTAACCATCGCATACTAGTAACCAAATACATTGCCTAACAAATAAAGATGATCAATAAAATAAGTGAATAAAATGTCATGAGAGATCAAGAAAATGAGAGTAGTGACATGTAATTTAGTGACATGTAATAATTTGATATGTTTTTTATCATCCCTTATATCCATTATAGCTGCTTAGTCTTTTTCCTCTCCCATACCTCCTAATGTCAAAGCTCTCAAGATGTCTATTGATGTCCACTGATTTTTTTTAAGATTTATTTTATATTATATGCATACACGAACTGGGGCATAGGCAAGAGGTGTGGGGGCGGGTGAGAGGATTCACCAGAGACAGAGTGGGAAACAGAACGCTGTCGGGTTGACTGAAATACACTGCTGAGGGAAGCAGTGGGCGAGTCAGGAGAGGTCTGCTGTGCCATGTGGGTAGCTGCAGTGGCTGTGGATAGCTTCATAGTGCTGAGACTTAACCCCTTGCACCACCAGGGAGGCTCCTGTTGACTCACTTTTTAAAGTGTAACTTTTTTTTTATTTCTAAGTATGAGAACTTGTGGAGGGTGACATGACCTGTGGCAATGTGGGGAGGATGGGTCCTTTTCCTTTTCTAAGCCACATTCCCCAAATGTCCAGGGGTCTCTGTTTAAAGATCTTACCTTTGTTTGTGAAAGCTTTATTTCTGATGGTAAGGTTTTCTGTTAGTATGTAGTTGCAAAATATTGGGATTATATCCAGTATAGAGGGGATGAAATCACATCTTTCCAAAAAGGTTTTCTGTCTAACAGCTAATCCTTCCAGAAGATAGCAGGTTTGTCTGGTAGGCTTTCAGCTTGATCCTATGGGAAACAATTTTTATTCTGCTGCTAGAAATTAACATAGGCCAAAATCTCAAAATAACATTTTAAATTACATAGTCATTTGAGAGCTTACTGATCAAAAGCAGGGCTGGTAGATATTCATTAAAAAATTGCTACTTTTTAAATTAAATCTACCTTTTATATATAAGTCAATAGGATTAGTGAGCTTCCAATATGAGGACATTTTATCCCTTATAATCTTTTAAACAGATAATCACAATTTTGACCAAACCTTCATAGAAACCTTAAATGCTCACTAATGAAGACTTGCTTTATTTAGTGACTTAGAGATCTGTTTTAGAGCATGAAGCCTTCAGATGTTTTATATTTTAATATAATTATGCCTAGATACCTGTTATCTTTGAAGAGGCAAGCTATAAAATTTGGTCAATTTCCCCTCTTCAAGTTAGTGTGTGTGTGTATGTATGTATGTATGTGTGTGTGTGTGTTCATTCAAAGTCCAGTCCATTCTGTGAATGTTGTAGATGTACTTGATGCACTGACTCTGTTGTTTTCTTTACTGGGATTTTTCTTGCAGAAAACCACAAAATCACGGTCTAAATCTTACAGTACTGATGAGGAGGAGGAGGTGCAGCAGAATCATGGCAAGGAGACCAGCCAGCTCTACAGGTAAGAAAGCCTCTCCTTGATTCTTGCTCAGATGCCTGGGACCACTCCATTTCCACCAGTGTGGCTGTTCCAGTTGACCCTGCCAAAAAACTCAGAGCACGAGGTCTTGTTCAGTGTAGTGGGGCATGTGCAGATAACTGGAGGTGAGATGATAATGCAGCTAAAGGGCTCTTACCTGCCAGCTGTAACAGTTGTCAGGTAAAGGCATCTTCAGAGAGGCAGGAGCCACATGAGCTAGTACAGAGCATGCTCCCAGGAGACTAAAGGAGAAAATATGTGCTAATGATATTAAGAGCCAGGGATCAGAAATCAGCCAGACTTTAAACTCCTGTTCCTCCACTTACCACCTTTAACAAGGAATAAGTTAGACACCTCATTTCTGTCAATTTCTTTGGGTCTTTGTAAGGATGAAAGGGACTTATCTATTCAGTCTGGTAAACCTTACCCCAATTAACTAAGTGCTCAAAAATGTTGGCTGCTGTTTTTTCCATTATTGCCAATAGAATTTAGAATGGTAAAATGACTGTCACTTCACCTCACCCTGATTTATAATCATTCGCCTTCACAAAATTTGATTTTCACCAGGGGTTATAGAATTTCCTAACCATACGGTAAAGAAGGCACATGCATATCTTCCCACTAAATTAATTAATTTATGAAGTACTATTGTTTTACATCCTGTTCATATTTTGACAGTATAGGATTTCTCCCTTCAGCTGTGGTCACCATAGCTCTCCCTCCACAAGAGCACCCACAGTCCTCCACCATAGTCTGTTGTGCTCTCTCATCCTTCCTCCAACCCCCCTCACCAGTTGTTACCCATAATTTTTTATACCTGTCCATATTCATGAGAAAATGACTTGTCTTATTTTGGCCTTACTCCATTTATTGAATGTATTTAAGTATGATTAGGGTAAGGATTTTTGTCTGATTTGTTCTCTGTTTTATCTTCAATTGGCACTGAATAAATATTCATTGAGGGAATAAATCTATCGTCATTATCCTGTTCTTAATATATGTCTTCCTTGGTGAGAATTGGAGATTTTGATAGATAGATGTCGCCTTGGAGGAGAAAAGTACACATGTAAGAGGAATGTAGTTATCTATAGAACATTTAACTGTGGTAAGCCTTTGGTAGAATTTATAAAGTTGTGGAAGGGATCTCAGGAGTGGTTTAAGAAAGTTGAATATAGAAATAATATAAAGGAGAAAATAAAAATCACTTTAATTATACCTCAAGGGCCTCCCTGGTGGTGCAGTGGGTTGAGCACCGTGCTGTGAAGCTGTCCGCAGCCTCTGCAGCACCAGTTTGATTCCCGGCCGGCTGGGGAGATACCCACATGGTGCAGCCAACCTCTCCTGTCTCGCCCGCTGCTCCCCTCAGCAGTGTATTTCAGTCGATCTGCCTGTTCTGTTCCCCACTCTGTCTCTGGTGAATCCTCTCACCTTCCCGTTCCTCTAGCCTGTACCCCAGTTCTTGTATAAATAAAAATATTTTTTTAAAAAATTATACCTCTAAAAGAGAATCACTGTGGACATTTTGGTGTATTTCCTTTCAGATATACAGTAATTCTCCTCACTCACAGGGCCTTGTGTCTGATCCATTTCAGTCCCGGTTTTTCTCTTGCTGTAAGGGAGTAGTTCTCTGGTGAACTCTGGCGCAGCTTCTTTGCTGGGTAACTGAGAATCAAGCCCTTCACAACTGAGCTCACAAGTACATGTCAAGAGACTGATTCCTGGCTGAGCAGTGAATAAAACCATATAAGTAGGGTGTGATGGTGGAACATCACCCTTGGGTTTTTGATCCTGGCTTCATTGCAGGCAGGTAGGGAAATGAGAATAACCAAAACCTGTCTCTTGCAGCCCTAAAATGTCACAAGTCTGGGTGTGTCTCCACAGGTTGGGTCGCAGAAGGAAAACCATGAAGCTGTGCCGGGAGCTGTCTGACTTGGTTGTGTACACAAACTCCGTGGCAGCCCAGGATGTTGTGGATGATGGTAAGCACTGAGTGCTTTTCAATGGCCTCTTCTTTGACAAATGTTAAATGGTCTCTTGTTAATCAGGTCACTAACACATATTTCTGGAACTGTGTAGAAAACAACTCGAGTGTCAGGAAATTGACTGGTGGTATATGCTTAGGTCATGAGGACTCTGTTGATTACTGTGGTTGTCACTGTGGAGATCAGTGACATTTCCAAAGGGGCAGAGGGCTTGATTATCACAGAAAGACAAATGTATCAGTGTGAAGTCTTGCCCAATGCTTAGCTGTGGAGACCTCATCTGACCACATGGGTGAGTCACAGATGGCTGATCCAAATGGAAATGCCCTGAAGAAAGAAGAAATTAACTGGGTCAAAAGACACCTTGAAATGATCCATAAAAGGAAACGTCACCTTTGATGAAAGTCATTGAGCAGAATGAAGTTTTAACAAAAAGAGCAGAGATTTCAGAAATATTGACGCCTTCTTCATTTTTCACCTCTCAATTGCCATATATTGGGTTGAGAAATTCTCATCACAACTGTTCTTATCCTGGACTTTTCTGCTAGTTGCTTTCCCTCCTCCCATTATCCTTTTCCCTCCTCATTTCTGTTGTTCAGTGATGACTTATTAAAGAAATAAACTATGGTCATGTGGCTTTTCAATCTAATTTTAATTTAATTTTTTTTTTAAAGATTATTTATTTATACAAGCACTGGGTACAGTCAGAAGCGCAGGAGGGTGAGAGAATTTACCAGAGCCAGAGCAGGGAACAGAACAGGCAGACTGACGAAATACACTGCTGAGGGGAGCAGTGGGCACTACAGGAGAGGTCTACACGCCATGTGGGACCCTCGCCAGTGGCTGGGGATCAAACTGGCGCTGCAGAGGCTGCGGGCAGCTTCGCAGCCCAGCGCTCAACTGCTGCACCACCAGGGGAGGCCCTAATTTTAATTTTAGTGGAAGCAAAATATAAACCAAAATCTCTTTTTCTTTCCAACAAGTATAGTGAAAACAAAGCAACATGATAGTGAATCTTATGTCCTCACAAACCGCCAAGATTCTTCCCTCAGATCTCTCTTTTATTTTACACTTGTATCTTTATATCTGCAGATTTACTTCCCTTTGGTGCAGATTCCTTCTTCAAATGGTAACAATTATAAAAAATTTAAACTTATTTTGCAAGTGAGAATATAAGAAACTGTAGGATTCATATAGCAAATGAGCAACGCATTCTTATATTAACTGTCCACAGCTTGAAAATAAAAGCAGAAATGTGTTTAATGACATTAAAACTGTTTTTGGTTTAGAGGGATGTAAATTCTAATAAATGCCTTGGGAAATCATAGTCATATTAGATTAATGGAAAATAATATTGAGTACTGGTTAGCTTTTGAACTTCAGATGTTTGTCTTTCGGGTTTTTTTTTTTTTTTTTTTTTTTTTAAGATTTATTTATTTATTTATACAAGCACTGGTACAGTCAGAAGCACGGGAGGGTGAGAGAATTCACCAGAGCCAGAGCGGGGAACAGAACAGACAGACTGACGAAATACACTGCTGAGGAGAGCAGTGGGTGGCAGGAGAGGTCTGGGTGCCATGTGCGTCCGTCGCGGAGGCCGGGGATCGAGCCGGCACTGCAGAGGCTGTGGGCAGCTTTGCAGCCCAGCTGCTCAACCCCTGCGCCACCAGGGGAGGCCCTGTCTTTTTTTTTTTTTTTTTTAAGTAAAATAAGTAGTAGATAATGCATGACTTATCCTAATGCAAAGCAAACCAATTCTATTAATATGCTAACTATGTGTCTAATTAGCAAGGTCATCTATAGTTTTTTACTAGTATCTTTAAGATATTTCCCTCCCCACCCACCCAACAGCCCTCAGGATGTTTATTGATGTCTACAGTTTTGGAGGGTGTTTTACATTATCAAATTGTCTGCTATGTAAATGTCCAATATTTGTTTTTATCTTTCTAACTTTTCTGCACATATTTCTCAGATTTCCCTCATTTTGTTGAAAATGGCTGTGTTTCTTCCTTTTTAAGGATATATAATATCCCATGGTGTATATATATCACACCATCATGATCCAGTCACTTGCTGATGGACATTTAGCTGCTTCCTGTCCTAGCTGTTGTAAATAATTCAAAGCATTCTGCATTGAAATCTGCAAATAAGACAATTTTTAGTATTCTTCAGATAAGTAAACTATGCTAATAAGTTATGGCAATAAAATATGTTAAGGAACACATCTAGGTGAAGGAAATAATCAGATTAAAACCTGTAATTCTCATTTTTTTTTTTGTCTTCCACTTAGATTTATGACTTTCTAATTCCAGCTCTGGACTGTAATTGTTAGTCACTTGACAAGTATTTAACAGTGAAGGCATATGATGTTGAGACAGGGGGCACTAACAAGCATACACAGTCTGGAGACTATAGCCGACCTCCTTGGGGTCAGATGTGCCCAGTTTGTCTGAGTGCACATCAGAGAGGGAGTGAGGGTCTGGGGGAAGTTTGGGTCTTCAGCAAGGATCTTCCAGCAGGTCCAGGGGGCATACGGTTGGTTGTTTTGGGGGTGGTATATGGATGTTTAGTGTAATAGCAGGATGGGTAGGAGCATTGTAGTTTGGGTTTGGAGAGGAGAGTAGGAGATTAAATGTTTGAAGGTTTACTCCATCATGACCCCCAAACATGCAGTTTCCTTGACCCTTGGTTGACCCCTCCTTAAGATGGTCCAAACAAAAACTCTGGCAGAGGCTCCTGTTCGTATTTTCTTTTTTCAGTTTTCTATATTTCCCTCCGTTTTTATAAGCCTAGCTAGGTGGATGCTTAACCTGTGTCTAAAACTTAAAAACAAAACAAAACAGAAAAAAAACTCTTTTTTAAAATTCTTTTTCTCCATTATTACTTCTTTCTCCCAAACAGGGTTTGACTAGTCTTATAATTCTATTCAAGTCAACTTTAAAACTCAAATTTTCTTTTTTAGTAATTGATCTTTTCTCTTCATTTTCCTGGACCTTGAATGCTACTGGATAATGTGCCTCATGTGTGCTTTTAGATGAATGACTTCCATTCATCTAGGAATGGAATAAATCCCAAAGATAGTTTTACTTATCTATAGCTGTCTAGATCTTTGGCAGAGGTATTGTTTGAATTATGTCCTTAGAAAATAGGGCCTCCCTGGTGGTGCAAGGGGTTAAGTACCACACTATGAAAAAATCCGCAGCCTCTGTAGCATGAGTTGGAACCCCGGCTGGCCAGGGAGCAACCCACATGGCACAGCAGACCTTTCCTCTCTCACCTGCTACTCCCCTCAGCAGTGTATTTCAGTCAGTCTGCCTGTTCTGTTCCCCACACTGTCTCTGGTGAATCCTCTCACACACACCCCCACCCCCACATCTCTGGCCTGTACCCCAGCTCTTATGTGCATAAATAACTAAATCTTTAAAAAAAGAAAATAATTTCCCCAACACCCCTCTTCATTATAGTCAGATAAACATGAGTTAGTCAGATTATTGAATTCCTGGGAGAACATGGGGCCCAGAAATAGGCAGTTATCTAGCAAAACACACAGCTCTGATTTGGCCTCAAAATGGCAAAAAGAGTCCCAAGAATGTTGTGGGTCTTTCTTGGCCAGGAGCTGCCCCTACTCTGATCTCCGATTGCATTTACTCTTTTGCTCTCTCTTACCCTTGCTATAATCTGAGATAAAGTCTTGTGTGAGTGGTGCTGTTGTACTTCTCACTATTTTATTTTTAACTACCAGGAACCACAGGCAATGTGTTATCATTCAGTGAGACCAGAGCACATCAGGTGGTTCAGCAGAAATCGGAACAGTTCATGGTTTATAACCAAAGGCAGCTCACGAGGATTTACCCCTCCGCTTACCGCATTGATTCCAGTAACTTCAACCCCCTGCCCTACTGGAACGCAGGCTGCCAGCTGGGTGCGTAAGCCCCGCCTCGGAGGGTGCTCGGGGGTCCCGACTGTTGTTGCTTTCCCTAATTCTCAAGCTTTGCATTGGCACAGTGGCGCTCAACTACCAGTCTGAAGGGCGAATGATGCAGTTAAATCGAGCCAAATTCAAGACAAATGGCAATTGTGGCTACGTCCTGAAACCCCAGCCGATGTGCAAAGGTGCGTGTTCAATTCACAGTTGTCTCCGAGTGCAGGGGACCGCCTTGAAGGGGTTCTCCGGGAAGCGTGATGCCTTTGTGTTTTGTATTGTGACTTTTTAAATAAAAGCTAGGTTAAGGTGTGGGAATGGTAATTAGAACTCTTGTCGCTGCTGTTTAATACATGGGTAGCTTAGAATTTTCTCTCATTGCATTGTGATTATAGAGGGACATGGAAAGCAATGAATTGACACCAGATACCCAGAGGCCCTGGTTGATATTTTCTGGGCATGACTTAAAATGGGCCTTCTAAGTTCCTAGCCCTGCCTTTCAGAATATATATAAAGGGAATATATAATCTCTCCTAGGGAGTGTGAGTCTGAAATGTGCTGGGAAACTTAAAATGTCACCTGTAACAACTTTATCAAGTCCTCTTAGTCAGTGTATTCCAGTTAGAAGAGTGATAACAAAAAAAGCAAAGAAAATATAGTGCTAGATCAAAAGAAATGCTTCCTTTTGCTTTTGCTCGTTATAATTCTCCAAAAAAGCTTCCAAATTGGATTTTTGACAATTCAGGTAAAAACAGTGTTGATGGATGTGTTCTTCATGATTTTGTGCTTTGCGTCTTTCTCGCTCTGCATTTCCTTCACTTGAGCTTTCTGTTAGATTTGTTTAGTACCTGAGGTGGATTAGGTTAGACAAGTGCGTGAATCTGACAGCACTGCTTCTCTACACGATTGGCATTAAAATCAAATGCTCCTCTTCTCCCTACCAGGGTTGATAATCACACTGCAGACACTTCAAATTAGCCTTTTCCCCTGGCCTTTGGAACCATAGTTTCTAAGGAAGACCACAGCTACAGAGTTGCCAGCTAGTGGTGCCTTTAGGCAAAAGCCAGGCCCATAGTTATGTGATAATTACTTTGTTCTAAGAAACGTTGTGGGTATTCAACATTTGCTGTTTCTTTATTCCACAAGCTTAAACTGTGCACCTGTGTGTTTTCCCATGCTACCCAAACTTAGAATTTAACCCCTGCTTTACTCTGCTTAGGTACTTTCAACCCTTTCTCTGGTGATCCGCTTCCTGCCAACCCCAAAAAGCAGCTCATCCTCAAAGTGATCAGTGGACAACAGCTCCCCAAACCTCCAGATTCCATGTTTGGAGATCGAGGCGAGGTAAGCTGTGTGTGACAATTGGTTAATTGTGTAATTATGTGTTGTTACCACTTGCTCCCCACTCTGTAACATGATTTTAAAATGTCTCCTGTGACCACAGCTTCCTCTCTTTGCCAGAGCTTTGATTCTATCATTCCTGTGATACTTGAGACAGGTGTGTGAACTGAGGTGTTGGCTTCTTTTTACCCTGCCTGTCAGCCCCTCCTGTGTTCCTGACCTCTTTCTCTAGAGTGGCCATTTCACTTCAGGCTCTTTGCTGTCCCCACCTGTTAGACATTCATTTCCAGATCATGAGTGTAGATGGGCGCACTGTGCAGGTCTGCAGTTTGGTGCCACCAGAAACTCTTGGTCTCACCACTTCACTGACCTGTTGTGTTCACGACCACCCCATGTCAGCTTCCATGCCTTTCTCTGCAGTGGCCATTTCCAAGTTTTGCTCCTCAAACCTGTGTCCTCTCTCATCTGCAATACATGGCACTGTCCTGTGCCTCTGCAAGCATGAGCTGCAGGCGTGACTGATTCTGACATTTCTGCCTCCAGCCTAAGCTAAGCCACCGGCCTCTCTGGTCAGTTCTGCTGCAGCGACCTCCCAACCATTCTCCCTACCTCCATTCTGTTCTCTCAGAAGCAAGAATAATTGATTAAGGATCTTTGTGGCCTGAAAAAATGGAGACTAAGTTTTCCTCTCAAACTTTATATTTAAAAAATTTTTAAACCTCAGAAAAATTATTAAGAATAGTAAAATAAACACCGTATCCCTAGTACCTCAATTCACCAATGAAACTATAAAATTTTGTGACATTTGCTTCCTGTCTTTGTGTTTCTCTAAATGACTAAAATCAGAATAAAAGTGCTTGGTAGGAATCCTACAGGGGAACTGTCCTGGCCTTCCCAGGGATCCCCTCAGGAGCTGCATGTCACTTATCATGGACAAGGGGCTTTCTTCCAGATAGTTTTCATTGTATTGGTATTTATCAACTTTTGTAATTAATACACAGTCTGTGAAGTTAGAATGATCTTTTAAATGTATAAGGAATGCCTGTCTTATAATCAAAATAAAATCCAACTCTATCTTGGCTTATAAATTTACTATCAGATTATGACTTTTTAAGCCATGGATTCTTTGGTGTCTGATAAGGCCTGTGGACCCTTTTAGCCTAATGTTTTCAAGTGCCTAAAATAAAATAAAATGGGCTACTTAGTGAACTAATTATATTGAAGTTCACTTATCAAAATATTCAAAACAAATGTGACTTACAAATGTATACCCATTACTATTAACACAGAAATAGCAAGATTTAGAGGAAGGTCTAATATTACTAGTGTTTTGAAGTCATGATGAATATAGATGATATATTGAGATTTCTGCAACAACTGTACATATAAATGTGATATGTCTATTTTTAAACTTTATATCAATTGACTTTAAGGTCTGGACTCTTATATTTGGATAGCTCAACATTATGGCTATGAAGCAGAGCTTTGTTCCTTTGAATTGTTGTACAATATTCATTAAATGAATATTCCATCACTTCTCTATCATGTTCATGACAGACATTCAGTTTTTTAACCAGTGCTTGATAATTGTGAATACAGTTGCACTAAACATTTATGTGTGGATAACAGCTTTCATTTCTGTTGGGTGTATACCCTCAACTGGAGTTGTAAGTTCACTGAGTAAAGTTTGCATAGCTATAGTAGATAGTGGTGAAAAAATTTCAGCTTTTATTCTTGCCACATCTATCTGAATCTGTTGCACCCTGTACAGTTTCTCTTTCTTTAGTAGGCAAGTCATAAATGGGTTGCTGTTAAAGTGTGAGCATTTTGGCCAATATTCTCAAATTAATTAGCACATGTATAGAAATGTATCCATTATAATAATTTTCTCCCTTTGTGTATACAGATCATTGATCCTTTTGTTGAAGTTGAAATTATTGGATTGCCTGTAGATTGTTGTAAAGAGCAAACCCGTGTGGTGGATGACAATGGTAAGGGGACAATCTGAATTTGCTTTTTAATCAGGACACTCTGGAAATAGTATTTCCACTGGAAAAGAATAGAAACAAATCCCTCAAGTCTGTAATTGCCATCTGAATTTGTTAAGATTTTTTCAACACATAAAATGAAATAAACATTAGACTGATCCATGGTATGTTTTCATGGGCATGGTAATGTCGGCTTCCAAGACTTTCCCTTCGGAGACGCATTTTTTTTCTAGTGAAAAGAATGAATGTTATTTTAAGGAGCCGGGTTAAAACTCCACTTAGGAAAATGCCTCCATTATAATTTCATATGTGTTTTCATGACACTAGTCCCTCATGGTGCTTATTCATAAAGCTTTTCATGTCTTAAAAATGATTCCATTTTGCCTGGATCATGTAAAACTCTAAAGGCAAGTGCAGCCCACTCATGCTAGTTTCCTTCTTTACATGGACATGTGGTAGACCAGCAGCATTCTTACTGCTTTTTTATTTTAAAAAGATTTATTTATTTATGCATACAAGAGCTGCAGGCCAGATGCAGAGGGTGAGAGCATTCACCAGAGACAGAATGGGGAGCAGGACAGGCAGATCTACTGAAATACATTGCTGAGGGGAGCAGTGGGCGAGGTAGGAGAGGTCTGTTGTGCCATGTGGGTCGCCTCCCTGGCCGGGGATTGAACTAATGCTTCAGTGGCTGCTGATAGCTTCATAGTGCTGATGCTTAACCCCTTGCGCCACCAGGAAGGCCCGTGTTCTTAATTGTTTTTGACCAAAATGTAAAGAAAACTTTCTTTGCATAAGTCCGCAGGTCCTTTTCTTGGTAATCTTTCAAAACTGTATTTTTTCATTCCTTCTACAAGCATACTTGCATACTTATTTTTCTCTAGACATTAATGTTATAAAATAACATAAACCACAGACCTTGAGAAATGTGAGGCTCAGAGAGAGACCTGCAGAGGACTTTTTCTAAGTGCTTGGAAAGTAATTTTGTGAATAACACAAATCTGATACTTAGGAAATAATATACTTTAAGAAGGTACCCTCCAATATAATGTGTCCCCACTAGTGCACAATAGATTTTTTTTTTTAAATCTCAGAAGTATTAGAGAGGTTATCACTTAGTTAACTAAAAGATAATCTCTTTTCTCATGGGGCACCATTGTGTCTCAGTGATTTTCAGTCCATAATTATTTCATTAGCTAAGTTGTTTAATAGGATTAAGTGGCCAGTACTTTCTGAGTGCATACATTTAATACAACATTTTCATTTTTAGAAAGGAAAATCAAATTCACAGTCTTGCATTTTTATCACTGTATATAATCACTTTATCTTAGAGAAGTTAAACAAGAAATAAATGTATTTTGTGCTTTTTAGAATTTGAGTTGAATTATATATCTCTTCTATTTATTTTTAGTAGCTATGAAAATGTATCATCTTTCATATTTTAAGGTTTTGCTTCATGAGAAGCTACCGGAAATTAATAGTGTGGTAGCTGATTTGGCTTGGTGACTAATTGCATGAATTTGGGTATATTATTTTCTCTGAACTCCAGTTTCCTCAACTATAAAATGAGTTATACATATTTATATTTTCTACTTAAAAATGAGCTTGTGTGGCTTATGTAATTTTTAAAAGTGGTATGCTCTTGAAAGCCAGTAATATATACTTCTTAATTAGAGGATTGCAAAGCAGCATAGAAAATGGCTGCTGGTGATTATTAGAGTAGTGGGGTATATGGTGGGTGAGAAGCATGACTCTGTAGGTGGGGAGAGAGTATGGTTTTTGCTAAATATTATTCTTAGATCACCACTATAGATAATTTTCCAGCCCACTGAAACATCCCAGATATCATCTAAAAGAGGTTAGTCTGCAATGCAATTTGGCATCAAAGATTATTTGAACCAATATTATAATTTACAGGCAATTTTCTTAGTAATTATTTTCTAGCATCGGGGTAAATTCCAAAGCTTTATTTCAGTAAGGCATCCTGGAATTGCTCGGTCATCTTGGCAAGTTTAATAACCATTGCAAGTAATTTTCACTGTCTGGTTTGCAGATGTTGCTGTCATTTCATTTTTAGCCAAGTCATTTGCTTTTCTTTTCCTGTTTCTTTGAGGATTTAACCCTGTGTGGGAAGAAACCCTGACATTTACAGTGCACATGCCAGAAATAGCTTTGGTTCGGTTCCTTGTGTGGGATCACGATCCTATTGGACGAGACTTTGTTGGGCAACGAACGGTGACCTTTAGCAGCCTGGTGCCAGGTAGGTATGGGTGAGCTTTCCTCTCTAGAGTCAATCATTTATTTTTCTTAGGAAGACTTACTATAGGAGATATCAAATACATGATTTATAAAATGTTATAAAAAATGTGCTTTTTTTTGTTTGTTTACAAAGTGTGCCATGTAAAATGTAAAGAACTATAGTAAAAAAGTCAGATACTTAATTTTGTTGCACCCATGTGAAAGCCAAATGCAATTCCAACTAAAAGGAAACTGCTCTCTCTACTTATATCAGGCTACCGGCATGTCTATTTGGAAGGATTGACAGAAGCATCCATATTTGTCCACATAACAATCAATGAAATCTATGGAAAGGTGAGAAAGATTATAGGACTTAAAGCTACATACAACAATGACATGGGCCTTAGCAAAGGTATTTTCTGACTAGCTGTGATTAAGGAATATCAGTTGTGACAAGCTGTCTTTTTACAAAGTGAGCAGGCGCCTTGTGTGCCTTCCCCATGTGGGGCTGTGCACTGCTTCCTTTTACCTTCCCTGGGCTAAAGAGAATTGCAGGAACTGTTATTTTCCCTGGCAGTCATTTGTTTGGTAAAGCAATGAAGATAGAGTTAAATGATGAATTTTATTTCTATTCTTAAAAGGACCCAGCTGGCTGCATTGTGAATTACCTGTTCCCACCAGTCTTTGAGCCCAGCCAGTTCTCGAAGGATGCATTCAGTCTGTGCCATTGTGTTTAACCGCAAACCTAAAACTCATGAATGAATTTAAAACCAGCCACAGGACTTAAAAGAAAGAGACCACAAAAATGTGCTTTAGTTCTCTCCTAATGCTCTCTTCTCTATAAAGTTCCTTTGAGGATTACAGATCAGTAGGCTCTCCGCTGCTCATGCCAAGTGATTGAGACTGGGTCACTGGAATGAATTTTTAGGACCAGATATGATTTGGAAGAGCATGGCATGGGGTCAAGGAAGGTCCAGTGTTCTTTAGTAGAAAGTCTGTGTACCTGAGACTTTCCCTCCTAGAGTATATGCATTCCCTCTGACTCAGCTTCCTCATCTGGAAATGTGGATAAAAATAGTACCTGCTTAGTAAAGAAATAAATATTAATATTTAGAAAGCTGCCTGGCACAGAGAAAATGCGCAAAAATGGTGGCAAATATTAATATCATTTTGACTGCAGTTCAGTTGTTAGTAGCCCTATTCAACCTGAATTCGGAGGTACGTGTTTATCCTGACATCATTCTATAGGGGTGGGGGTGTAAGGATCCTAATTTCTAAGAGTTACGAAGTTTATCCCATGACTTTCCATGTTTAGTCCTGAGTTTCTGTTTCTGCTACTTGTTGAGATCTTTCCTCTAAATACATTCAAATATAAGTGATTAAAAAAAAAGATTCTGGAATTTCTAGGAATGTCAGTTAACTAATATCTCTGCCATTTATCATGCTTAAGTGAAACAATACAGAATTAGATTAAAACTTAAGCTGGCAATGAAATATGTAAAAGAAAGGGTTCTATAGGGCTTCTTTCTCCTAAACAAATGTCCACATATAAATCATATAATCTGTTGCTTTCAAAGGGGTATTGGGTTGGGATGCATACAAATCATACACAATGAAAGAAAAGGTTGCTAGACATGTATACAGTTTTTCTCTTTTGTATTTATCTGTGTCACTTTCTTGAATGAGCCCAAATTGTGTTTTGTTTTTTCCCTTGCAGTGGAGCCCCTTAATACTCAACCCCAGTTATACTATATTGCACTTTCTAGGAGCTACCAAGGTAGTTTCTCAGCATGGTGCTTTCTTCTGGCTGGCATTTTCCTCTTTAAATGGTCATGGCAGCATGCTCTCCATCACTCCATGTTCTTGCTTACCACTTTGACACATGCATCTGTTGCTTCAAGGTGGCTGAAGTTTGTAACCGTGTATATACTGTGGAAACTTTTCCTGCCACTTTGTCATCTCTGAGTAGGAGTGTTCTGGGAAAGCTTGTTGGTAAAAGTGGAAGACTGCCTTCCTCACGAAGTAATAAGACTGATAGGATGTGCATGACCTTGTGCCAAGGTGCTGTGGTTTGGATACACTCCAATGGCTGCAAACTTTTGTTTTGTATCCATATTTCATGCAGCTGTCATTTTAAAGGCAAGTTGTTGACATAAGGGCATTTGCTTAACTTGTGGTTGGTTCTTTTGTGTCTTCAGAACAGACAACTCCAAGGTCTGAAGGGACTGTTCAACAAGAATCCCAGGCATGGTTCCTCAGAGAGCAATTCCCATTATATTCGGAAACGGTCAATTGGAGATAAAATTCTGAGACGCACTGCCAGTGCTCCAGCCAAAGGCAGAAAGAAGAGCAAAATGGGCTTCCAGGAAATGGTAGAGATAAAGGATTCAGTGTCAGAGGCCACAAGAGACCAAGATGGGGTCCTGAGGAGGACCCCACGGAGTTTGCAAGCACGCCCTGTCTCTATGCCTGTGGACAAAAGTCTTCTAGGGGCTTTGTCGCTGCCTATATCTGTAACAGAAAGAGACACTGAAGGCAAAGAAAACTCCCTGGGTAAGACACTTTCAGTTTCTGTAAGATTAAATCCTTCTAACCAGTCATCACTGGTTAACATTATGATGTGGTTGACATTTTGTACTCAGAGTAAAATATAATGAAAAATAATGTTAATGTCATCTTTTAGATCAGAGTTTACATTTTGAAGGGAGGGTGGCCAAAGAGCTATATCCTAGTCACTTAAAACATTTGGTTTCAGACTCAAGTCTGAAATGAACAGTGAAGAGTAAAGGGAGTCTTCAGGTAAGATGGCATGGAGACTGTGATTCCACAAGGTACAACCCATGGAATTGAAACTCACAACATAAAAGCTGAGAGTTTTGTTTTCTGCACATTTACCACATTTCCAAATTGTTCTGAGGTTGAATATAGTTGTATTTCTTTCTCCGTCATAAAATATATTTCCACAATTGAATATGTTTTTGGAGAAAGGGGAAAAGTCAGATGGTAAAAGCATGTCACCTTCCTTGCTTGAGAAATCTGTGCATTCTCAAGAGGTAGCTCAGGTGATGTTTCCTGTGGCCTCATTCTGTGATCCCTGAGTGTTGGCAGGGAAAGCAGCATGTTTAGTTATAGGCTCCTCAAAAATAGAGAACAACAATACCAACCTTTCCCCCCAATTGGAACATAGTGCTTCATTCATACCAAGAACTTGATGCAGAGTTATACCAACTTTGCCGAGTACCAAAAACTTCTTTTTTTTTTTTTTTATAAAGGCATGTTTTATTTATTTGTTTGTTTGTTTGTTTTGTTTATACATGCACTGGGTACAGTCAGAAGCGAGGGAGGGTGAGAGAATTCACCAGAGCCAGAGCGGGGAGCAGAACAGGCAGAAGGACCGAAGTACACTGCTGAGGGGAGCAGCGGGTGGCAGGAGAGGTCTGCACGCCATGTGGGACCCTCCTCCGGTGGCCGGGGAGCAGCCGGGGATCGAACCGGCGCCACAGAGGCTGCGGGCAACTTCGCAACCCAGCGCTCAACCGCTGCGCCACTGGGGAGGCCCACCAAAAACTTCTTGACTAATGTGGTTGCCTCCTTCCCCTGCCTTATTCAGTTGACTTAAGTACCAAAACTGTGCATTTGATGCCTTAGCAACTAATACTGTTTTCATTAAATCAGATTTCAGACAAGTAAAATGTAATAGTTGTTTCCTTTAGCACAATTCTTTTCTATCATGTGACCTGATTTCAGTGATTTTTCTCACAAACGTCATTTTGCTGATACTGATTTTGTAAGATATTCTTGAGAGAAAAACCTATTTTGAAGGGCTCATTGAAGAAGGGAGTATAAAGTTTGAAATTCTGCTAAGAGTGTCAGAGAGGAGATGAAATATGTGCTTTAAAATCTATTTTAAAATCCCGTTCTGAAGAAAATAAAGCTATAATCAATAGGGATTGGTAATAATTCTGTTAATACCAACCACAGTTAAGATGTTAATACCAGTAAGGTGAGTTAGAAAGCATTACTGAGATGATTCTTTCCTCCCTTTAAAAAGCTGCCATATAAGTAAATCATAAAATATTTATAGTGCACAAGGAGCAGTATATTTAATCTTGCATTGATTTATGTTATAATGTAGGAAAAAACATTAAGTGGAGAAAAGGCAGCATCTAAAATTCTATCTTTGAAAGCTTACAGAGCTTTCTATCTCTGAGTAATGAGAATATTTAATTTTTTCTTTATAATTTTTGGGCTAATCAGTTATTTCTGATGAAGAAATTTTTTCAGGAAAAATTTAATCAGAGGTTAGGATATTTAATCAGAGGATAATTTTTTTTATATCATGCCTAAAAGCACTTAAAGACTTACATTATCCTGATTGTGAATAATTGAACACCACATTTGTGTAGGCACTGTACAAAAGCATGATGGAATGCCCCAGATGACTGTGAATTGTGTTTTTTAAATAGTTTTTTTTACTTACTGCCTCTTCTAGTGGGAAATGCAATATGACCTTTGTACATATAAAGCAAAAATATGATTAACAAAAAATAAGCTAATGGCAATGGCATAGGTTGGTGAACCATTCTTTATATCTTTAAGTCAACAGATAATGATATTTTTAATGCATTTGTTGTGCCTTCCAAATTTGTCTTAGAAATTTGTTGGTTAAATTAGAGCCTATGGCAAAATGTTTTTTAAAATGATATGTGTGGGGTTTTTTTGTCTTGTTTTTCTTTTGCTAATACGCATGTAACTTTGAAAGCTTATAGTATTTTGCTTACAGGTACCACAATGCTTTGTTTAACAGAGCTGTTTTATTCTGTTTTTATTGCCATGCTTCTGTGTAGTACAAATCTGAATAGGAAACAACTTAAGGTAATCCTCACTGTAAAAGTATGATGACTCATTGACATTTTTTTTGACAATGAATATTACATCCTTAGCTGATGTAATAGATATTCAAAGAGAAGCTCAGTGAAATTCCTATCAATATATTTTACCATTTATTCATCACTCAGACACTTCGTTGCAAATCTATGCAGCCCATAATTATATGCTATCACAGTGTAACAGATTTTACATTCTCCATTTGTCTGTCTCAAGACAAACATGAGTGTTGCAGGTCCTCCATAAAGTCTCCTAAAATGTTGTTTGTTTCATTCAGCAGAAGATAAGGATGGCAGAAGAAAAGAGAAAGCAAGTATAAAAGACCAACATTTTCCAAATTTCAGCAAAAAGTTATTCTCTTCCTCAAGCGCGCTCCACCATGAAGACACCAGCCAACAGGACTCTGCTACTTCTCTTGCCAGAATGTCAGTCATGGGAGAACAGTCAGGAGTGCCAGGTGCTAAGGGCGGGGGACCCAAATCAAATGTACCAAGTGATTACCAGGATAACCAGAGCCCCAACCAATCCGTCCCACCAAGGCAGCATTTGGCTCCTGATTCTGCAGCTAACCCAACCCAAGACTTCTGTGGTATGAAAGCCAAAGAAAATGGGAATACTGGAGGCTTTGTGGAGGAGAAAAGCACATCGGGGAGCATCCTTTCTCAAAGCAACCTGGAGATCAAGAACTTAGGAGGAAATTGGGGTAAGGGCAGAGCTGCAACATCCTTCTCGCTGTCAGACGTCTCCGCGCTCTGTCCTGACGTGCCTGACTTGCATTCTACTGCAATTCTGCAGGAGAGTGACCTTTCCCATCTAATTGATGATGTCACTTTAACACAGGAGAATGAGGTGGGTAGCTCCATCTCAGCGTTGATTGGCCAGTTTGATGAGACAGGTGCTCAGGCTGATCTCCCCGTTCTTTCTCCTCTCCCAAAGTCTGGAGTGCTACCACACCATCCCTTGCCCACCAGGGACCTAGACCTACCCCTCAAGCATAGTTTTCCCCAGAGAAAAACCACGGCATCCCTGCTGTGTTTATCTCCTAAGCGGACTGCTTTCTCAGGTCCCGAGATCTTGGAACAATCTACACATACAGTTGTTCGAGAAACTGCCTGTACTACTGCCTCTAAAGTGAAACCAGAAGATGAACATTCTGGTAAGGCCAAGACGGGGGCTGTGGAAGATAAGCTGCCTCCGATTTCTCATGCTCCTCACTGCTGGTCACCAAAAACTCCCACTAATGGAAAAGACTGGGAAAGGCTGAGGAAGCACAGCCCTGCCACTTCCACCAACTTGACAATGGAGGATGTCATAGCTGGTGCCACTCTCTGTTTAAATTCTGGGGAAAGTAGCCTCGTGGAGATGGATGGAGATTCAGAAAATCTGTCCCTAACAACCTGTGAATATCGGAGAGAGGGCACCAGCCATCTGGCTTCTCCCTTAAAACTGAAGTATGCTCAGGATGTGCTGGAACATTATCCAAGAGGTTTGAGAAATGGCTACTGTAAAGATACTCTCCACCCTTCTGTCCCTGAAATGTTCAACAGTGTTGAAGATGTCAAAAATCAAAGTGTTTCTCCCCTAGCCTATCAGGGTGCTGACTTTGTGCATAATCGTGTCTCAAACTCAGATGCAAAAATGAACCAGACCTGTGTGCCCCTGTCTAGTGCTAAAGACATGCATGTACCTGCACCCACACAGTCCCCATGGTCCCCACGGCCGCCTCCACCTGCTCTGAAGCTACCCAGTCCTTGCAAATCCAAAAGTCTGGGAGACTTAACTTCAGAGGACATCGCTTGCAATTTTGAAAGCAAGTACCAGTGTATTAGTAAGAGTTTTGTTACACCTGGCATTCGAGAGAAGGTGGCCATGAGTGTAAAGACAGATTCATTGGAGCCTATAGATGCTCTCACGGAGCAGCTGCGGAAGCTTGTGTCCTTTGACCAGGAAGAGGGCTGCCCAATGCTGTATTCAAAGCAGGATGCCAATCAGCTCCCCAGGGCGCTTGTCAGAAAGTTGTCATCCAGAAGTCAGAGCAGAGTGCGCAATATTGCCAGCCGTGCCAAGGAAAAGCAGGAAGCCAACAAGCAAAAAGGTGTGAACCCCAGCAATATAGGGGGAGTGGTTCTCCGGAGCAAGCCCAGCGCACCCCCACCCCTGGGCATTCGGCACTCCACCGGCTCCTACATCGCGGGCTACCTGGGCTCCAAAGGTGTGGAGGGCCGTGGCATCCCCGAGGGCTGCGCCGCCCTGCGCTCCGGCCACTTGGACCAATTCTGTTCCGATAACTCGGTTTTGCAGACTGAGCCATGTAGTGATGATAAACCAGAAATTTATTTTCTTTTGAGACTGTGAATTACATAAAAGCTGCATTTTCAATGTTTACAGGTAACCTGTAGATTGTCAGTTTTCAGTAATTATGGCCCTTGGATTTGAAATGATTTTAAAATGTATTTTTAAACTTGGATTTTGGTCTCCCTTTGGTTCCACGTGTTTCTGCATTTGTATATAGATTCTGTGACATTTCCCACCTACTATCACCTTTCTCTCCTGAGTTGTAAACCTACTGGTATGAAATGTGTGCATGCCCTAGATGTGAAACTTCTAGCAGCTTGGGTTATAATGTATGTGTTTTGCCAGGATGCTCTTTACTCTGTCCTCAGATTATAGTCACAAATGTATTCATTTCTACTCTCTGTTGAGCTAATTAAGAGACTTTGCAAATAACAAAGGGATGAATTTACTTTAAAGCCTTTATCACCTTTCCTAGTTTGCCTTCTCTGTTGAGAAGCCCAGATGCATTTTTACAACTCCGTTAAATGAAGATTAAAGTACCTTACCTCTTAAGACTTTTCCAATCCATTCAGAATGAGACTTCCAAGGAGATTGGTAGTTGATCCTTCTGCACCATTAATTTTAGAGTAGGCTGAGGTTGTAAGGAATAAAACAAACTTCTGTATATAAGGACAAAATTGTTTGTTTTAGATACATTTTGTTACATATTTTTGCTAATGGCTTTGTATGTAACAAGAACAGAGTTGCCAAGCTATTGTTGTGCTTTTGAATTTTCAGATCAAATGATAGACTGCAAATGATGGTTTTCAAAATGAGAGACTTCCATCAGACCCTAACAGTAAGAATAGCACAAATTGGAAACTTCCCCAGAGCTTTCAAGAAAAAAAATATTTTCTCATAATAAAATCCAAGTGACTAGATAATTAGAAGAAACCCTTTCCTTTCAGGGAGATAAGTAACTCTATTTTAGTATCAACATGCATTATTTTCACAGCAAATCCACTTTTTATTGCATGTTCAGATGTCCCTCTTTGCTTTTTTGTAACATTAACTGCAATGATGTTCTTCTGGAATTCATGGAAATATAATTAAAGCAGATTTTTAAACACTGGCTGATTTTTATTATTTTTTTCAGTTGAAGCGCATCAGATGATGATTGAGTAAGGGACTCAGAGCCTTTGGAAATATTTCTCTTTTCATCTTTTCACAGCAGAAGAGAGGAGTTCTACAGCATTCTAGTTTTCAGCAGCAATTTATGGCTGAGTGTTTATGCTCGAAAGATATTTGTAAGGTAACTTGAAATCATTGTAATGAGTTTCTTTGCATTTTGGTATATTTCTAATTTAAAATCCCAATTCCTGTCTTGGTGGTGATAGTGAGGAGGAATGTGCTGGAAAAGATAGGTAGGATGTTGTGTTTGGCAAAGACTGAGGCTTTCTTGTGTGGGGGCAACGTGGGGATGAAAGCGCTCAAATCCCAGTTACTCTCAGTCCCCAACTCTGAATTTTTCCTTAATACTGAGGTGTTTTCTATTTTTTGCTGCTTCCTTTTCTTGCTGGTTGGGGTAGGAGCGTAATGGTAATAGGAAAAGAGATCTGTTTTCATCCCCTTAGTGAATCTAAAGCATTTTGTCTTCTTGGGTGTTCTGAAACCAAAAAGTTTTATTCTTACACCTTGGCTTATTTTTTTTTAAAAGACTTATTTATGCATGCAATAACTGGGGTACAGACAAGAGGTGTGGGGGTGAGAGGATTCACCAGAGACAGAGTGGGGAACAGACAGGCAGATTGACTGAAAAACGCTGCTGAGGGGAGCAGGAGGTGAGTCAGGAGAGGTCTGCTGCGCCATGTGGGTAGCTCCCTTGGGGACTGAACTCGTGCTGCAGTGGCTGAGGATAGCTTTATAGATGGCATCTTAACCCCTTGCGCCACCAGGGAGGCCCATCTTTGCTTATTTTTAAAGTACCTTTGTCTAAAAAGAGATTGACATGCTGTAATGCTGTTGAAATTCATTTGCAATTGGGTAAAATCCAGCTGCTTTTTATGATTCGATGGAATACGTATTTTTTTTTTTAAGATTTGTTTATTTTTACACAAGAGCTGGGGTACAGGCCAGAGGCGCGGGAGGATGAGAGGATTTACCAGAGACAGAGTGGGGAGCAGAACAGGCAGACTGACTGAAATACACTGCTGAGGGGAGCAGCAGGCGAGAGAGGAGAGGTCTGCTGCGCCATGTGGGTTGCTCCCTGGCCGGCCTGGAATCGAACCCGTGCTGCAGAGGCTGTGGACAGCTTCACAGCACGGTGCTCAACCTGCTGCACCACCCGGGAGGCCCTAAATATGTATTCTTATTTAAAAATTCAATTTACATTTGGATGTCAACCCTGCCTCTGTGTGCTCTAGTAGTAACATAAATGGTTGGTGCCAAATGATGGGTCAACAGATACCTGCTGGCACCTGGGATGTTGGTCTCATACCCTATCATATATTAATTATGTGTATATTTTAAGATATCTGTTCTGGTATATCTAATATCCTCGCTATGTGTGACTACGATTGTGGTTCTTGTTAATTTCTTTTTAAACTATATATATTTTTTCTTATAGGATGAAAGGAGTTGCAGTACATAAACCTTTAGTCATGTGGTGGTGATGAGTAGGGAGGGGAGGGCAATCATTCTATGGTCCTATGATTAATCTCCATCTTGGTGTATGCCCCTGAACCATGCACTTCACCAATGCTTGTCAGTATTTTTTTTCTAGGTGAAACAGGATGGTTAGATGGGCCTGGGGTTGGGGATTTCCCCAGTGTCAGGTGGTTTAGTTCCTGATAAAACCCCCAGCAGGTTAATTCTGGTAAAATGATTGCTCCTGAGAGCAGATGTTGTTAAGAACAGAATCCTCTGACATTTCAACATAATTCCTTTGCCCTGCCATTCCTGGAAGCTCAGGAAGATTTTCTTACAGTATTCACTTTGAGGACCTGGTAGAGTTCCTGGAGATAAAACTCACAAACATGTAGGCTCCCTCTATGACTGTGTCCTCCTGGAGTTTTTAACATTTAGCTTGTTCACACTGAATTCCAGCAAATTGCCAATTATAGTTCAGATATTTTTATCCTGGTATTGGTTCCATGGAAGTTTCTGCTCATGGACTTCAGCTCTGATGTGATTTCCTTTATTCCCCTGTCTCCAATTTTTGGGGGGGCAGCAGTTTGTCCTGGGACCTCACTTCTCTGAAAGAGCTAAGAAAAGTAGATTTTTCAGTTCAGTATTTTACTCATTGTTAGGATGGAGTGGTGACTTCTAAACTCCTTACATATTGAACTGGAAAGTTTCCTACTCTTTTTTTGACTGAAGTGAGTTATCTTAGTGTAAGGGGCAGGAATGGGCACTGAGCAGGTTTTCTAAGATCCCATGCAGACCGGGTAAAGGAGGAAAGAGTCCTGGAGACCTCGGTGGCTTTTGCAGGTCTTTTTATTTAGATTTACCAGGCACATGGCAGGCAGGGTGCTGGGGGGCCGGGAAGCTGGCAGTCCTCCCAGCCCCCAGCAAGTCTTCACTCTATCTGGGCTCTATCTGGGCTCTCTCTGGCGTGCTCTCTGCTTCTCTTCTTCTCTCGGCTTCTCCTCTGCTTCTCGTTCTGCTTCTCATCAGCTTCTGCTGGCGTCCCCGTGACGCCGCCCTTAAAAGCCCAGTCTTAGCCCAGGTGAATCCCATCTACATACGCCCACACCCTACTCCAGGTGCCCGCCATCAGGCATGCATTCGGGACCACAGCGTTCTGTCATCTATCCTAATGGCTGGAGGGCAGAAAAGCCTGATACTTTTTCCTTACCCTACACTTAGTCAGCTCAGGATCACTGGAAAATTACCTACAGCAAAATTTTAAAAGGCAGCTTATTTGGGTGCATTCCCAGGGAAGCAATAATGAAAGTGAGGTAATGAGGCAATAAAGGAAGTGTAGGGGCAGGACAGGACACAGTGCAGGTTTTCTAGGATCCCATGCAGACCGGGTAAAGGAGGAGTCCTGGAGCTCTCAGTGGCTTTTGCAGGCTTTTTATTGGGATTTACCAGGCACATGGCAGGCAGGAGTGCTGGGGGGCTGGGTGGCTGGCAGGCCTCCCAGCCCCCAGCAAATCCTCACTCTATCTGGGCTCTCTGGCGTTCTCTCTGCTTCTCTTCTTCTTCTCTCAGCTTCTGTTTATTCTTGCCTTCTTTCTCGGCTTCTGCTGGTGTCCCCGTGACACCGCCCTTAAAAGCCCAGTCTTAGCCCAGGTGAATCCCATCTACATATGCTCACACCTTACTCCAGGTGCCCGCCACAAGGCATGCATTCAGGACCACAAGGATCCATCATCTATCCTGATGGCGGGAGGGCAGAAAAGTCTAACATTTTTCCTTACCCTACAGGAAGGGAAAAAAATTCAAGGGGATGAGTAATCAAGATAGCCAGAGTTTAACAGATGCCTAGATTTTCATACTGTCTCTAGAGAAACCACAGGGGAAGACTGAATCTCAGAGCAGTCCACTGTAGAGAAGGAAGCATGAGTAAAGTGTTTCCTGGTGTTTTTCCCACCTATTTCTATTCGGTATTTAAGTTTACCCCTCAAAGCATTCGCTTCTTGTGTGTCCAGGTAGTGTGGTCCAGAGCCTTTGGGCTGCAGTGTGGTGGTCTTCCTGGGTTGTTGGTGCTGCGTGGAGCTTGGGGGATGTAGGGTAAAGAAAATGTCAGGCTTTTCTGCCCTCCTGCCATCAGGATAGATGATGGATCTTTGTCCTGAATGCATGCCTGATGGCGGGCACCTGGAATAGGGTGTGGGCATAGGTAGATGAGATTCAGCTGAGCTAAGACTGTGCTTTTAAGGGCGGTGTCACAGGGACGCCAGGAGAAGCTGAGAAAGAAGCCGATGAGAGAAGCAAAGAAGCAGAAGCAGAGAACGCCAGGGAGCCCAGATAGAGTGAGGACTTGCTGGGGGCTGGGAGGTCTGCCAGCCTCCTGGCTCCCCAGCACCCCTGCCTGCCATATGCCTGGTGAACCCCAATAAAAGACCTGCAAAAAACCATTGAGGACTCTGACTCCTCCTTTACCCGGTCTGCATGGGATCAGAAAACCTGCACTGTGCCCAGTCCTGCCTTTACAGGGGAGAACTCAATGTATAATGGCAATGACTGGGACATAACCAGTGCAGGAATATTCAGAATAGCTAAAAGCAGTGCAAATGATTGATACTTGGGTATAATGGAGGACAGGTGGGGATGTGTGTGCCTAGGATGATACACAATCTGGGCCACCTTTAGGACCAAACAGATTTACTTGCATCCTGTGATATCCTAGATTTTGTATGAGAAGAAGATTTTCTCTCTACTTCAGGAAAGGAAGTGCAAGCACACCTTTCCAAGCAGTGGTCAGTTTCAATCCCCTAAACAAGATTTAAAGAGGATTAGCAAACCAAGCTGTAGTCCTTACAGCTGCAGTGGGCCCCAGGGTCATAGCTGCTACTTATCAATTCCCTTGTTTATTGGTGGTCTAATTTTTCTCACCTCTAGCATTTTAACTACTTAAGGTTGCTTGCCTGGTAGGTTGACTCACTTCCTCACCCCTGATAGATGTGACCCTGGGTTGTTTTCCTTTGTCAGGCAATGGTTGCTATGAGTACCATTTACTGGTCACTGTGCATTTAATCACTAAGAAGTGCCTCGGTGAGACCTGAGTCCAGATGCACTTGCATTTGCAATGAACTCATTTCTCATGAG